GTGTGTATTATCGGAATAGAAATTCCTCAATTCCTCAGGTGTTCGCTGTTCAATGGCCATCTCCCGCGTGGATGGCGCCAATCCTCATTTGGGCGCAGTCAAAAAGAACACAGTTAAATATTTGTCTGTATTACCTGCAGAAATTGGCAAATTGCAATACAATAAGCCACATCGTAACATCTAATTGAATTTCGTGCAATATCCGTTAACACTACATAGTCATTCGCATTTTTACACCGAATTACCGTTATGCCTGACGCCCCGACATTGTTATTAAAAGAAAATTATAAAATGTAAGTATTGTTATAAAATAGATAAATAAATAAACAAAAAAAGATTAATCGTTTTAATAAAAATTACAGCTTCATTACAAACGTTCACTATGTTTTTGGGATATTTAACTAATTAATTTGATGATAATTACATGATAATAAAATGTGTATAAAATACTACTAAGTAATAACTACTAACCACAAAGTTTAAATAAAAAAAAAATTAAATAAAAAAATAACTACTAAGTAAATATTATTATTATTATTATTAAAATGATTTTTTGGATGGTTTTAAGAATATCTCTTTCAAATATTCAAGGTGAAACTATACCCGTTTTAGGGATGCAACTTTCCGCCAACAGTTGTATTTTGTACATATATAAAGGACGCAAGTAATATTTTCTCAACGTGCTAGGCTTAGGAAGTTATAGGTAAAATTTGGTTTTTCTACTATTAAGGAGGAAGTGGTCATGAAGTGTATGTGTGTGTGGGGGGGGGGGTATCCGCTGAATCGGCTTGTCTTCATGTAACATATTATACAATATTTAACAACGGTCAGTGGTTCTTCTGATTTTGCAACGCCATCATCTAATTAATAGTCTTTTTTCTCCTAACACAAGACTTATACCAATTTCCGCAAATCCCCAGAACGTACGTCACCGCAGCGGTGTCCAACGCCCCAGCGGTGCTTGAATTTGCGTTCGACATCTCTTCGTCGAAGACATTATATAAGATTATTAGTTTTGGTTTAGCGTCCTATTAACAATATTATTATTTAATTGTTAAGATATACGTACAAGAGATACAAAAAGTTCAACAAACTCGCGGGCCGACGTCGTCATCTCCGAGGACGCGCAACAATAATGCTACACGCGTCATTTGTATAATAATAATAATATTATATTATAATGTTGTTCGCTATTTTCACTGTACATTGTGCATATACGTGATCACACAATAGGAGACGTCTTTGTACAAACAAATTGCTAGTTTTCCACGTATAGATATTATAATGTTCAATATAACAGCAACAATACCAATAACAATAATAATAATAATAATAATAATAATAATAATAATATTACTATAAGGAGACACGCGGCTGCTACGGGGCCAGCCAGCAGACGAACGCATTATAATATCATCGCGAGCATATTATAATATATAATGACATCATGTATACATGCTGCACGCACAATAACTCTGAATATCATACTTTAACTAGGTAGGTAGGTAGGTAGGTGTACCTATAATAAGGCTAATATATAATATAATATACACAAGGTATTATAATAATATTATTACGATACGTCGTCGTACCCATAGGAGGTAGGTAGGTACGCGTCGTTATGCTGCTACTGTCTACGGTCGACGAATTGAACGGCGGCGCTGATGAACACTGCACGGCGTGTTTGGACTAGTCTTTTATTGTGTGTGTGTGTGTGTGTGTGTGTGTGTGTGTGTGTATAAGTAAAATACATAATAATAATATTATACAATAATATGAATTCGAGACTCTACTCTTCGTACACTTTTGGTACGTCGATACGGCGACGGCGGTGATGTATACACAATATATTATAATAAATAGGTACATGTGTACACAATATCTGTATTGTTATTTTACCATATACGATATAATAGTATAATATATTTTTGTATAGGTACCTACCTACCTACGCGCGAACGCGAGAGAAAAAAAACCGTGTAATCGTCGTCTGACGAGACGTTCGATGAGAACCGTAGAGGATCGTGACTTATCGAAATAATACGCGTGCATGGAAGGACACGACGACTACGCCAAGCCCCAGTTGCAGTCACGAGTTATGTATACTTGTGTATAATAATATGTATACATATATGATATGTATGGGTAAGTATAATATTTTAATAACGCACACACTATTGCACGTGGTATCTATTCCTATGCATATTGTCAGTGCCGATAACACCCCATCACAGTTCCAATTCCAACTGATGTTTCGGCTCGATTATTAACTTCTATTTATTTTATAACTTCATCTATAGTGATTTTCCCGCTTTATAACGACTTAAATAACGCTTCTTCGACTTGTCGACAGTGTATCTGCTATTACCGGTGGACTGTTTGACGGTTCGGCCGGAATCGACGACTCGCTCAAAATGGAGGTTCTGCAATTTCCCCTGTCTTCAACAAGAGTATACGCAAACATAAATACACATATAAATTATACATGAATTGCCTATTTACACAGCCAACGGGGTAAATCCCCGGGGTGGGCCCCCTCCCACTAAACCGTACTTGTCGTCCGCCATAACTCAACCTACCTACCTACATTTTTAGTTTCAGTAATAATATTGACCGAAAAAAATTATGAAAAATATTGGTCGGTAAAAATTAGTCGACGGGATCAAGCCAGGAGAGATTGTTTTGTACGGCTGTTATTTTATATTTTACCTTTCCACCGGCTGTCCGTTCTTCGTTTTAGCAAAATTGGCCACCACCATTGTGCAAATAAAAAATACGACGATAACCCAACACAATAATATACGTATCAACATCGCACGAATCAACATGTAAACATACAATACAATAATTATTATAGTAAAGACTAAAGAGCAATACGACGCACGCGGCGATTTCCATAAAATTGTCGAACAAGAAACTTATCACAATCAACAACATATTATTTTATTATTATTAACTTTTGCAAGCGACCAGTACAGTATTTTTTGCTCACAATATTGTATAACGCTTTAGTCAGTAGTCAACTAATAAAAATAAGTTTCGGAGAAATTTGATGTATAATATGTTGCCTATAAGATTTTAATATTGCTGTACAACAACAATATTGTATTCACGTAATCAAGTATTTTGGGACGACAATCGTCATTCGATAAAAAATTCATAATAATTATTACATTTTAGAACAACGTTTTTGTGAATATGTGATAGTTCTATCCTCCCCCGATTGTTGGACAAACTATCTAAGATTACTAACAGAAAACCCGAAATAAATCCATGGTATAATGGAAAATAAACAATATTGTTGCGGAAAAAGTAAAAAATTCGGTACCGACCGTTTTTATGGAGTTAAATATAGGCAATTTTCTAAGTTCCTGTGTGTGTAATAACTAGTAATTGATCATTGGTGTAAAAGATACTGGGAATTTTTAACTCTCAAAAGTACCATACATCATAAGTTCAATTTGCTAATTGCTACTACGAATAACTTCCAAAGTCTTTTATTTAATGAATACAGTCACAATTGTACGATTTGAGAACAAAAAACACATCATTGCAAAAACCATCGCTTCGCTGAATTAAACTGAGCTTCTATGATTTGTACATTTTTTGATTATTTGTAATCTCATTCTAAGCTAATTCAAATTTGAACATCGTCAACAGTAGTAGTTTTAGTTCACAAATATAGAATGTTATTAGGTACTTTCATATTATAACGTACTATAGGACATTTAAAATCCAAAACATAGGTGTTTTAGACATTAATCATTCATTAGTTATTTTAAGCATGAACAATTTTAAACAAAAATACTTAAGTGCGCAGTGAAATACAAATATTGCTCAAACAATAAAATATTTATATAGTATGTAATATAATTTGTATACAACTTTTAGATTGGAATATTGAAGGAATCTCGCCAAACCCAGTCTTAAACAAACTTCTCTCGAAAGTCGAAATAATTTTTTTCTGAATATTCTGTACCCGTTACGATGTCTGGAATTATTATTTTTGTTCCTAATATCTCAATATTTCTTTTTACCTATATGCTTGAGTGCTTGACTATATGATAAAATGTACAAACGTAGTGTTATTTAATGTTGTTGGTTAATTAATCGTGTTGGAACTTAAAATGGGTTTTTTCTGTCAACACGACTTTAAGCTAATCACAAATTCAGTTTACTTTTAAATTGCAATTTAAAACCAAATTATTTTAGACAACTAAATTAACTTGCAGTTATTTATATAGTTATATAAAATAAACGTTATATTATAGTGTATGATTAGTGTATTGAACTTTCGGACAAGTTCATGTTCCGCTTTACATCGAATTTGGATTGCCACTTGACTCTGTCTCCAAAAGTTTCACGCATACTCTACTTAATCGTTTTATTAAATTCCCAAATTCAACATATATATGATAAATTTAATTTTAAAAGTGAAGTTCTAAATATTTAAGATGAATTCACAGCTACCTCGTGTACCGTGAGTGTGTGTGGTAACTATGATTACAACTTATAATCATATTGGTTTAAAAGTCGAATTGTAGTCAATTCTTGATATACTCTGTCGAAACTTGGTCATTACACGACACCAAAAAAGTAACTTCTAATTAGAATGCGATTTAATTTACACATCACGACACACGGCGTAGGTAGTTGTGAACCCTGCTTATGATGAAAGGAGTCTCTTAATATTAAGTATCAATAATGTGTAAGGTTCAGAAAAAACTACCACATTGAGCTTTGGAAAACTTTCGGAGATATTTGGATTGCACACTTTTTTTAACACTCGTTCCATTTTTAATTATAATATAAACTACAAAAGGATGATTTAGATAGTGAACAATTTAAATATAGTTTATTTATTATGAATATAACCTATAGGTACTTATAAAAATAGGAAAAATATTTTTGTAGTTTAAATAGATTAAAAAAACAATTCATGTTTTCACAAATAATAATATTAACTTATGGCATATTAATTAAACATAAAAAAATGTGGCTTGTAATGGAATGTTTAAATTTAATGTTTAGACATCATAATATTATATACCATTCTAAATAGTAAATATTCAATAACAAAAAATGTTATCCGAATGTACAGTTTAAAATGTGCTCATGAGTTTGTTAATTGCTTAAATTTATAAAAATTCGTCTAAAATATTAAAATACATAACGTATTATTATGCTCAACAGTCAACAATAATATTTGGCTTATACATAGGTAATTAAACTAGTTTGATTTGACATTAAAAGTTAATATTAAAGAATGTACGAATATAAGAAAATAATATCAGCTGATAATTTATTTTAAATTTATATTGATGATAAAATTAAAAACGTGGCGACCCTTAACATGTCCTTACATATAATGTTTAAATGTATCTATTTATAAATATTTGATTAACTGACAAGAGATCACATTGTTTACAGGCTATCGATCTATTTTATTATACCGTAACCGTCAAAACTTCAAACATAACATAACATTTGAATAGCTTAACTTATTTTATTTTGTAATCCAAAACAAAACTTAACAATTATTTATGAATATTCTAATGTTATCAATTACCAATTTTTTTATACAAATACCAACTATGTTTAAGCTGACAAAATAGTGGCAGATGGGTGATACATGGCAAAAATTGGGTAGGTATTAATAAAATCACATACATACTACTATGTATTTGTAATATCTATGAGTTTATGGCGAATATTATTCTTTCGACTGACAGTGCGCTATAACCTCCAGCCTGTATCAACATTTCAATTGATTACAATGTACTCCGATTTCTGTACACATACACTCTAAACATGGATTGGAGAGTTCAGAAATTATTTTTCCCACTCGGTACATACGTCCGTATATATTGCAGCCAGATATCTTCAGCATGGAAGCCAATAAATTGAACTCAGTATCAACCTTAGTTTTCAGTGGTGTTGTCCCAATATTTGGTTTTACATCGGTGTGCTGCATGACTTCCGGCTGCAAACCAACATCAGCGTGTTGCTTAAAATCGGGATGATGCTTAACTTCTGTCTGCTGTTTGAAATTAAAATACGGATTGACTTCGACTTGCTCCTTAACGTCAAAGTGTTTATTAACTTCACTTTGATGCTTGAAATCGGCATATATTTTGGAATCAGATTGAACCTTTGAATCCGAATGTGTCTTGAGTTCGGGTTGATCTCTCACGCTGAAGTGTGACTTGACTTCAGTTTGGTGGTTACTTAAGTCATGGTATGATGGTTTTAACTCATCGTAATGCTTTAAATCAAACGGTGATGTAACTTGAGCATTTTCTTTAACATCGAAATGTGTCTTAACCTCAGCTTGTTGTTTAGTACCAGATGGGATGGCATCCGATTTGATTTCTTGATGTGATTTGACATCAACGTGCTGCTTGACTTCTTGATGTGGTTTAACGTCAACGTGCTGCTTGACTTCTTGATGTGGTTTAACGTCAACGTGCTGCTTGATTCCTGATTGTGGTGGCTTGGTGTCGACGTGATGTTTAGTTGCGGAATTCAGCATGTCGTTGCCGTTTTGTTTAGTCTCGGTATTTGGATTGGATTCTAAAGGTTTGTATACTTCCTGTAGTGGTTTGACTTTGTCATGTTTGTTTTCTGAGTGATGCTGATTTATACCAAAGTATGTGTTGGTATTCTGGTGGTTTTTTGTATCCTGCGCATGCTGTTCTGCAGTATCTCCTGTATTCAAATTAGGTTTATTCTGTTGCATTGGTAGTGACATGAAGGCTGTTTGTCCGTGTTTGACGTCGTCATCCAAATTAACTTTCTCGTCGATTTCGTCATCTGTCCGATGCTCAATGCGAGTCTCTGATTCCATGTTATTTGTGGACGAGGACAGTGAAGACGGGGACGATGATTGTTCTGATGTATCGCCGTTGAACAAAAATGAAAACATACTTTCAAAACTATAATCTTCGTCTTCAAGTGGTTTTGGTACTGGTGTTGTGACTTCTGCACGCTTAATAGTTTCTGAAGTTGAAGAAATTACCAATTTTTCAGTGGTTGGAGTCGAAGTTGCAACTAACTTTACAGTGGATGTGATCGGTTTTAATGAAGATGTTTCAGAAGTTAAGTTCACTGGCTTAAGAGTGCTTGGCGATGAAGTTACAATTGGCTTTTCAGTTGATGGTGCAGAATATAAAATGTGTTCTATAACTGCATCTCTAACATTCGCTGTGGTTTTAGATGAGGTTGTGATTGTTTCAGATGTTACTTCAATTTGCTTAATGTGTTCCATAGTAATATCATTTTCATATTCATCTGTAATGGATAAAAAATTGGTTAATCATTTTCGTTTTGAAGATTGAAAATAATGTAGTCAATAGATATACATCAACTCTGAAATTTAAATTGTATATCCAGTAAAAATAAAATTGCTCAAATATAATTAGAATAACCTTGCATTAACAATTAACCTTAAAAAAATGTTTATAAGAATTAAAGGAGCAGGTATAACATACTTCATTAAGATAAACTAAAAAACTTACTGCAAATGATACGGCCACAGCAAGTGCTATTGTTCGGGTCGTTGATTCGCTGGCAGCCTACTTTGACGGCTGGACAATTTTCTTGGCAAACAATTTTGGCGTTGAAACAAATGCATATGTCACAAGCGCTCGGGTCGGTCAGCAACTCGCCGTGTTTGTATTTCTTACCATTGGATATGCACCAAACTGAACATAATTAAAAAATAAAAACTATGAAGATTTAGTACTAAAATCATCGTTAGCATATTATTTTTAAAATTAATTGTCTTACAAATTTTCACAAATTGAGTAATAAAATTGTTTTAAAAAAACGTTATCACATAATGTTGAAACTATTGCACAATGTATTATTTAAGAAGTCTAAATTAATAACTGTTTTAGGGGCATTTTATTTTCCACTTATCTAGTTTGAAAAATCTATCGAAAATCTACAAAAAATTGAAAAGCGTTAAGAAAGATATGGGACACTCCAGTTTTTAAAAATACATTTTAGCTGTTTTTGGATGAAGAATAATCCAATACAAACACATTTCCATTAATGGAAAACGAATTCACTCATGACTAATGCAGAAAAGCTCAGGACCCAGTGTCTTGATATTATCAGTAATTAATTTTAATTTTAGACTTTTCCAGTTAATTAAGTATTTAAATAGTAAGATTATTTACAAATTTAAAATTGGTTATAAATTAAACAATAACACTAAGAATACATATTAATAAATTACCAGATCCAATTGGTTGGTTCCCCACAGCAGGTTCGTCGTGGCGAACATTAGGTTGTTCCGTTGTCTTTCGAAATTTGTCAGGTAAATACATCGCACCATTCGGGGAATCTTTTGGAATAAATCCACCTAAATATTATATACAATTATTAGAAACATCAGATTTTTGTATTATTATTTATAAACCTTAGACTGAGAGTACATTTAAAATTAATATCTCATAAACTATGTTATTTAGAGTAAATATTAAATAACACTTTAACAGTAGCTATATACCTATAATGAAATGTATTAACATTACCCTCAGTCTCAATAGGCGGAGAAAAACTATTGACAACGGGCAAAGCAGGTTCTTCGACGTCTGATACATTGTACACACGTTCTATCACCGGCTGATAATTTTCATAAGTTGCAGCAGGTTCATCAACAACGGCATCCGCTGCAACGAATGGTATGATTCTGCATATCGGGAATACAATGTTTATCAAATATTTTATGCGTGAAAAAAAGATACACAAACAACAAATTAATATTATTAAAAAAAAAGTAAAAAGTAATTCAAAATGTCAAACTGATATTGTTAAGTTTACTTGTATTTTATGTGTAATGGGTAGGTGTGAACTTAAACATAATATTAAGGGGCCTCGTTACTTCGGTCAATTTTAGCTCAAAAGACCTTAAGTTTTGACAAAACTCAAGGTGATGTACGTTGTCCGTATTTATTCTGAAAAAAATTTGATCTCGACAGAAACGTGTCCATAGGCCGTACAGAACACTTTGTACAAATTAAATCTAATATTATTGTGAACAGTAATTTTTAAAAACTTGAAAATATGAACTTTTTCAAATCATAATTTAAATTTAAAATGGAAACTGTTTCTTACGATCCTCGGACATTTTTCTGCTGAATTCAAATATTTTTTCAGAATTAAAATCTGATAAATTAAGCTAATTTTAATTTTGTCAAAACAATAAGTAAGTTGTCGTAAAATGTATATGGTGAATTTTACATTGTTATCGAGTTATTGACATGTACAATGTACCTACATGCGCGTACGAGAATGGTATATTCAATATCACTCTCACTAATAATCATTTACAACTAACACATGTACCACGGAGGAATAAGGCAAGATTAGAAATTGTCGAATTAGTGTAATAATAAAACTAGTACTTTAAACGATTTTGAAAAAAATTGAAAAATAATATTTAATTTAATGTGGAAAAATATTTAATATTGTACTGTTACCTATTATTAACTTGGTTGAAAATTTCAATTTATAGCTCGATTGTAAAATCATCGTAAGGTCAGTAAAGTTAATTTATAAAAAATGAAAAATAATTAATTACTTGAGATTTGGTAAAGATGGCGGTAACGTTGGGTCATCATAATCCATTTCAAAGTTATTCGATTTTTCAGTGACATTCAATCCACCAAAGTCATCGTGCATTAAACTAGCAGGATTTGCATGTCTCGATTCCATGGGTTCTTCTGTAATTTGATCAGTAATATTCTTTGAATTTACAGTGATACTGGATGCACTATCTGTCTCCACAAACATCTGTTAAACACACTGAAATGTAATTTATGTTGCATAGCGTGTACGCCTTGATCTGAGTACCATAACTCATGTCACTAAATCTTGTTTGAGTTTACAGAAGAGCACCGACAACTCTAAGCATGACTGCATGGGTGCAGATTTCAATACAAGAATATTTTGAAAAAAATATAATAATAATAATGTATTATAAATAAATTAAATAGTATCCGCGCAATGGGTTCTAAATGAACAGTTTAAGTGAAGGTTATATTCACCGAAAATCTATAAACCATTCACGGGGAGTTCGCCTATATTCAATACCGTAAGTACCCATGTGGTAATTTTTATTCTCTGTACTGTGTGGCACTTAATTCAATTTTAAAATACACCGAAATGATATTTTTCAGAAAATGTATTGGTTTTTGCACCGAGAACAGTAAACATTTCACTAAGGCAACGCGTCTTGAGAGCTGAGGCTCAAATAACGGTCTGAAACGTAGTACTTCCCAATAAACACGCAAGTCGTATACTACTATATTATAATATACGTGATGACGGTTTTAATCGAATGCAAAACTGCCGTGGTATCTACTAGTAAACGGATAGTAGTTATTATTTATTACTATTATTATAATTAATTTACCTGGGCCGCCGTAGGCGTCGGCATCGGCGAACTACCGAGCGGGACACCATCGTCGTCGTCATCGTCATCATCATCGTCGTCATCGACAGTCACGGTGGACGGCTGCGTTGTCGCAACGACACCAGTGGAAGTCGACTCCGTCGCCGTCATCGTCGTAGGAGTGACAGTGGTCGGGCTGACGCGAGATTCTAGAATGAAAAATGGATCAATAACGGCGATTTATTATAATATTATCGTCCCGTCACGGACGATGTGCAGCGCATGCAGGGTAAACGATAGAAGCGAATAGCGCGCGCGCTCGGGACTTAGACGACGATAATAATATTATCATTCATCATATCAACATAATAGGTACGTGTAGGTATATACCTAATATATACATAAACGTCTATAGGATTTATGTACATATATATGTATATATATACGTATATAATATGGTGTAATGGTGTATGGGTGCGTCGGAGAAGTCAGTGACCCTGTGCGGGGAAACGCGCGGCGGCGGCGGCGGCGGCTTCGAGACGTACCGTTGCTGCTAGTGCTGGTGCTGCTAGTGCTGGTGCTGCTGGTGCTGCTGCTGCTGCTGCAGTTGTAGCTCGTCGGGCAGCAGTGCCCTTCCGAGTAGACCGGTCCGCAATTGGGCGATATTTGGGCGCGGATTGGCGGACATATCACCTTGTCACATCGCACCTGACCGTTGATGCAGAAACAAGTTTCGCACGACGACCGCGCCACGCCAATCACGGGCTCTCCCAGCGATATCAGCCGACCGTTTATGCGACAATCTGTGTTTACGTAATGTGCGAAAACCAATAAATAACAGATATTTTTTTTTTTTATTTACAAAAGTACACTAGTCACTACTACTATAGGCGATATTCTAATTTTGTCTTACGATATCAACTATATGAAATCGAGTAGATACCGATTTTCACAGGTTTAGATCATTTATGTATAAATATAAAAATATATACATACAACAAAATTTAACCCATAAACCAATGTTATATACTAATGTAATATGTAATACATATATAGTATATACCAATGCCAAGGATGCACTAATGCACTATGCACGTCTTATATAGATACTTTATTTTTTAAAGCAATTCTTTCTAAAAGTTTTCATTATTTTACTATTTTAATGTGGAATCAACTCTATTCATTTTCGTTTCGTATTTAAACTATAATTATTATTTATTATATCGTCCATAAATTATTATTTTAATACCTTTAAGCCGAGCGGATAAGGAAGAATCGATTTCGGTGGTTGTCGCATCCGTTGTATTTTTTATCTGTGCATTTTGTAACGGTGAACCTGTAAAATAAATAAATGTAATTAAGGTCAAGTGAAAATGTACCCAAATATTCAAATAAGCCAGTTAACAACATTAAAACTATTATAACAATTTAACTATCAAATGGCAAATGCGATATTATAATTATTAATTAGTATACCTATTACTAATATTTAAAAATACAGTCGTACAGGTAATTGAATTATTCGATGAAGATTAAAACTATTTTCTTAAAATACACACAAATGTGTAATAAAATGTATTATTATTCACTTATATTTATTTCTAATGAATTTAAAAATATGAAAAACATCATATTATACGGTTTCATAAAAACGTTTATGCTCGCCAACCAAAATAATATTATTTCAAATACCTATCTAAATTCATATAATATTATATATTTATAACATTCATATCTCGACATTTACACTTACATTTGTATCTAATTGGGCAACAAGTATGTTTTTTGTATACAGCTGTACAGCCTGGAATAGTTAAAGAGCATTGGGGCCGTACGCACTGTTGATGCCCTTTGATGCAGTAACAATATTCACACAGACTGGAACTGTCCATAGCCGAACCTTCCGCGTAAATCGTACCGTTTATCACACATCCTTGCGAATAGAAAAATAATCAAGTTTTTTCTTATTGGTGTTTTGTTATCGTTTCAGAATAAATACAATATATTATCCTCGTAAATACCTTTAGGTAAACCGTCAAATGTCACAATTGCAGAATTGTCCATCCTTGCGGGTCCAGACCGATTTTGCAATGAAAACAGTTTGGAATGAACAGCATCAAATTGTTCTACAATCAACGTGGAAATCAGGCTTTTAATTTTATTCAGAAAATTTTGTTTTGTTTAATTTATAATAATAATATTACAAGTCAAAACCAATCATATTATGTAAGAAATAAATTGATGTTAAATTATATTGTTATAAATTAGATAGGTATTTAATTTAAACATGAAAATTGAAAAAGTTCAACAAAGTCAGTTGAAAATAATATAGATTCATAAAATTAAAAATAAATTAATAAATTACGTTTAAGATAAAAATAAAATTAATAATATTTTTAATTTATGTTAAACTGTATGTTTCAATGTTTTAATGTTAATAGCAATTTTAGTAAGAAGTGATTAACTGAATAATTAATTTGATTTTAAACAGCATAAAATGTTCGTGCAACTGTCAATAACTTATCATCTAAGTTTATTACTACATGTCTACAAGCAAAAGTAATAGTACATTCTTATGAGTTATGGCATTGACTGTATTTACTATTACTTGCTATATGATTACCTATTATAGGCTGTATGATTACCTATTCATATATTCAACAAATAAGTGCCACAAATTATATAATAAGTTATAAAATTCTATTTTTTTAAATATTGAATGCAGCGAACAATGGTTAAACTTAAATTTTCTAATCGTCTACTGACACTAAAAGTACCCACTATACATTATTTACTAAATTTATCTTTTTTTCCATATAGTATTAGTGTAGTTAATTAATTTAATAAAGTTGATAACCTAATTTCGAAGATAACTAAAATTTATAAATTACAAGGAATTATATTTATATACATAAGATACATTGTATTTATGTACATAGATTTCACTTTTTCTATGTAAAAATTAAGTGTTTATGATTAATGTACCTATTTGGATCTTAAATTTTGTTTGATGTATAGCCAATGCGTATGATTAGAGGATTCAAAAACGTATGCACGTATATCTGACTGATTTTTAAAATTAATGGTATAGCTAACGGGATCCATAAGTCGGGTGTGACTCTTTATATATTATACAGTATAATATCATACGTACTGTATTCATCGAATACAGTTGCGTGTGAATATTTATTCATCGCTAAACAGCGAAGCTTGTTCATGTGGCAAATAATTAGAATTGGTGTTACAGAAATCACAAATATTCAATCATCGCATTATTCAATCGTCCTAATGTCCTATCGTGTTACATTTATTTAAATTCTTCAGTCTCCATAGTTATATTTTTAGCAAATAATATTTAGCATTTAACTTTAATAATAATAAAATATGAAAGAAAAAAAAAGAAAGAAATACAGATAGATAGTTTAAACTCGATTGGAAATTAAATTATAATAAAATTACGCGATTTGTAGACTATGTCAATCACCCATCGTAATTCACAATCCGTTTTAAATGATTCTGAGCAGAGCGATGAATGTATTGCGTTTACAATAATATGTAGTTTTTTGTGTCTGATGAATATATAGCCTTTAGAAGTAGTAAAAATACTTCAATCTTCAACTTTGAATAGATCCTGGAAGCGATTTGAATCTAATTATCTAGTAAGAAAATGACTAGGAAAAACTAAAAATAAAAACTGCAAAAAAATGGAAGTTATAGAAACACCAACTGAAGGCAGATTTTATATATTTGGTGTAATTCAAAATGAAAGAACAAAAAAAAAGATACTTAAAACTTTTACCGAACATTCAAACTAATATTTTCTAAACAAAATATAATTTTCATAATATCTTTGAATTTTAGAGCTGGTTATACATTTTTTTTTTAATTTTTGACTTAAAGTCAAAAATCTTTAAAATGTCAATGGTTCCTCATAAGTTTTTCTTACAGCAGTTTAAAAATATCGAAAAAATATTGTTGGCATTTTTTTTATAAGCGTTCCAAGTTCAAATTTTGACAAAATCAGTCAAAATCACCAAAATATGCAAAACTATTTTTGTAGTTATTTTACAAATTCTTAAATTAATTTCAATTCCTAAGAATTGAAATTTTAGAATAAGATTTTTGATAAGTTATTTTATAAGTGCAATTTTTTCAAAGTTTAGTGAAAAGCTTCGTTAATTTTTTATGAAGGTTTTTCTAAGAAACTAGATATTTAAATTAAAAATAATGTTTTATCCTCTTTAAAATATTTATAGTTGCATAATAACATTTTAAAATCTCATAATGCATGCATGTGACCCATCGACAGAAATGTGCCACCCAAGATTGGGTCGTGACCCATAGGTTGGGAACACTGTATTGCAGTGACCTACTCCTTTATGACGAGGTGCACTCAAAATCTACTATACAGCAGAGCGAGTTCCGTGGTGTTTGTTTCATTGGGTCCTACCCATATAAATTATTTTTCTTCATGTCCGTATATTTTTTTTTGTGTAGGTAGCCACAATAATCAGACAGTTTTTAACTGAATATAAAGTTTGAGGAAGAATATTAAAAAATGTTGTTAGTAGGTATAGACTTGGTTCAATGTATAATTGAATATCAAAACAGTAATAGGTTGCATAAGTCAAGTTTAAAATTTGATGGAACCTACATCAAACAGTGATCAGTCATTAGTCATTGGCTCACAAAACAAATTTGTTTTTGGCGGAAATGGTGCATAAGTATAATTACACGGTGTAATTAACCGTTACACAAAATAACGATACATTTTTGAAGAATAATAACACCCGTTTTCTGGTATCTGTGAACTCGTGTTGAACATGATGATTTCTTTAAATAATTTGTAATAATAATAATATTGATAATATATGTGCAATCAAACGCATATGGTTCAATTAACATCAAATTGTTTTCTTCAAAAATATTCACTTTATCAAATTGATTGCTACTTTTCGTTCGCTACAACGAAAACGATGTAATATTGTAATTAACTGTATCGCAAACATACACGGCATTACGTCTCAATTTAAATTGAATTATTATCAATGACAGCCGATTTATAAATAAATAAGTCTGCTCTGGAGCAATTTGAAAGTTTTTCTCTTCACGAGTGACAATTTTTTTCAATATAATTTGAATTTAAATTCGCGTGTATTATAGAGTTATTATTATAAATACTAGTTTTAAAAACTGGCGAAATATAATATTGGCAAGCACATATCACTTTTTTTACTGGTAAACTGGTCTTGAATGAATGACCCGTGGCAGTGGCAATGAGCCGCAGTCGACCTCAAGGCAATATACAGAAAAAAAGAGGTGATAAAAAATCACCACGTGCATATCCCATTCATAAATCGACCCGAAAAACTTGTAGCTATTGTTATTTTGCGTACCTACTAAACTTACTTAGCACATATAAGATCAAAATGCTTTCATTTAAAACACCTCTCTTTGTTAGTTGTAAAATCTATTTGTCCGGTTTCGTTTTTACGCAGTGAACACAGCCAATTCTTGTCAAGCTATTTCACCACTGCACAGCATACACATACCTTTTTCACACACGTCTGGTAGGGGCTGAATTGATATGTTAAGTACATATTATAACTTTACTCAACCATAATAGGTTCTACGCTTTACTTGTAAATGTAAACAATAAGCCTGCGATGACATATTTTAAATGGCTATAATTTGTATTTTTTTCTTTTTTTTGTATATTTGTTATTTAGTTGTAGATATTATAATAATTGCAATAATAAAGATAAACAGTTTGAAAAATTATTTTCAAAAGGTGAACTGAAGATAACTTTATCTATAATTATTGTGATATACTTACACCTACTACGTACATACTTATTTTCATGTCGACACTATGAACAATTTAAAGTGAATAACTAATCTCATTAAACTTTAATTTTAAACATTCGTAAGTAGGCAATAAAAATAATTACAGCTTGCTATTATGTTAACATTAAAATAATCGATTAAAAAATGTATTATAGATCAAATTTATCTGTGTAGATATTTATTATAGAGATTACAATACATTCATAAATGTAATAACTACTAATAGCATTGTCTGAAATTAACTATAAACAATTATCTATACGATTGATTTGTCTTTTAATGCCCATTTAAATGCAACATATTATGGGAAAAGTCTTCTTGTCTTAGGGTCCATCAAAAGTACCTTCTACGATTTTAATGATCCTTTGTGTCTGAAAGAACTGCATTGTTCACTTGAATTTGGTACTGTATTATGGAATCCTAATCAATTGTATTGTATTTAATTAATGAACTAGAAAAGGTCCAAAAAAATTGTCTATGAGTCTACACCTTTAAAACTAAGTTAATTCATCAAACCACCGAAGACATTGCTATTTTTGCTGGTTAAAGTCACTTAAGACCAGACAATTATTATTTGATGTTACTTTTCTTTATAAAATCTTGAACGGTGTTATTGACTGCCCGAGAGTATTACATAAAATTGGTTTTCACTGTACTCTTACCCCTTGGGGTGTTCCGGTGTTAAGTATTGATTGTTTTTTTTAAAAGAATAACTATTTATTATTATTATTATTATTATTATTATTATTATTATTATTATTATTATTATTATTATTATTATTATTATTATTATTATAATTCTTTACGTTCAACCACACAAAAAATCTTTTTTTCAATTCACAATAATTAAAATATAGGATATTACATATATTAGGTATACCTATATAATACCTACCTATTATATATTATCCTCAATCCAAATGAGATGTTGATTATTTTATTCTTATCATATTGAATAACTTATGTTATATTCTTAAAGTGTTAAAAATTTATATTTTACCATAATAACACTGAAGGTGCGCACAACATTTGTTCTTCTTGTGGACGATCACACATCCCTGAGGTGGTGGATCTGGTAATTCTGGACAAATTTGCAAATGGCATACCAAACTTCCGGTGACACATGTGCATTTTAAACACGGTTGATCTGTATTGACCAATGATCCTGGATCATAACTTCGTCCTTTATAATTACACCCGACTGACGCAATTTCTAAATCAAAAAAAAAAGTTTTAAAAAACTATAGTAACTTACGACAAAAGAACATAATACTTTTTGTATAATATTATTTTATTTTATTGACATAAACGCCTTTATAGGCTCAAGTACAGTATGATAACTTAAATAATACAAAGTTATGAACATAATATCTTAATACAAAAAGTATTTATACAAAAGTAATTATACAAAAAGTGCATTACAAATTGATTGTTAACAAATAAGACTTTCAATTTAAATGATTGTAAGGACTAGGTAATTTAGTATTTTATACTTTAATAGGGTTAGTATAATGTTGTAGACGGTATACCATTAGTAACTTATAAAGTAATTTATAAGGATACTAATCGAAAAATGATCAAATTATCTGACAAAAAAATGTGGTTTTAATTTTTAAAACAAATACGTCTCAATACTAAAAATGTTGCCACAAATATAAATTTTATTTACCCCAATAAAATTTGTTAGAATAGTAAAAACTAAAAAGTAGTGACTTTCAATCGAAACAGTTTTCTAAATGAAAATATTACAGAACCAAATGATTCTAGGGTTTTCTCTAAATTTAAAATGTTTAAAAATTGATATATTGTATTATGTACTGTACATAATAAAATGTACTTTTCGATCAAATGTATCATAATAGTTTAAATATATTGACTATGATAAATATTCCATGATTTCATCGTAGACTCTAGTGTTGTAAAACTAATAAATTCAATAAAAACGTAGATCTAAGGTTTTCCTAAGTGTACCAATTTGTAAGAAAAACTGCAAGATAAATACAACGAATTTTGTAAGTTATTATTTGTATACAATGTTATGATTTATTATAATACTTTATCATTACCATCACGTCTAATGAAAAGGTTATATCATTGAGTATTTTAGGTGCAGGCAATGAAGAAAAAACAGAGAAGAGTCCGACTAACGGTACGCGCATAATACACACGCCGCATTACCTCTTTTCGCCAAACAATAGTCTCTAGTGTTTAACTCATTATTATAAATACACACACAAATATAAAAATATTACACAATGCATAAAATATTAAAATGTTTATGTACCTATACTATACAGTATATAGTGTACCTATATGGCTATAACTAATATGGAATTATGGAATGGTAACAAGGAAATGTAAGTAATAACTAATACTTCATTTGCTCATGGGTAAGTAATATTAAAATTTATAATTTATTTCAGAAAACATATCACCGACAACAATCATATTACTGTTTTTAATGTGCTGACTAGTTATTATTACTATAGATGACCACTCTAAATGTAATAAAAAAAACTAATAAATGCTGGACTCTTGGTTTCATGTCTTATATGTATGCAATTATGCTCCTAAAAATAATCAAATTATGCACTTAAATTTGAAATACATAAAAAACTAAGAAAGAAATTATAACAATTAATGTTTTATTTTGTTAACAAAACTTAATCTCTTCCTATAATATTTTAATGTTTGATTTAAAATGTCAATGAAGTACATTTTTTTGTTTGCAAGTTCGTTTATGATTGTATTTATTGGATGACTTGTGGGTCAACCATTATTATCAACGTCATATTTTTAATCATTTAAAGAGTCTTGATTATGTATATTATAAAATATTGACAGTAGATACTTTAAAGTCTTAATGTTTTGAAACAAATTTAAGAATGCGAGATAAGCAATGTTGATGTTACAACTTACAATGTGTTTTTTTTAAAAATATATTCATGAAAAAATTGATACTTACAAACAAACCTATTAAAAATGAATATCAATTACTATAAAAATTAAAACTATAAATGAAAAAAATGAATGATTACTTCAAAAGGCCGTAAATAAGTGTTAACTATTCGAAAAATGCAATTATATCCAAAGTAAAACTTCATATACTGAACCTGTCATCTATTGATACTAATATTGCTATGTTACCCTATACCAGTATAGCATTTAATACGACTTTGCAAGATTGATATGCAAATTTATAAACTTACGAGTCCTGATATTAAATTATTTTTGAGAATATACTAGTGAAACGTATGTACTTGGAGACTACATCAAAGTATAATTAATTTTTGAAAATAATTGGTAATAGGTACCTATGTCAAATTGATTATGTAACAGTATTTTCATTTTCATTTCACAAAACAGAAATCAATACAATTTGTATTTGAAATTTCAATAAGTTATTATTTATAACCATTGTATTATAATTTATAACACACTATATTATAGTAATATGTAATAGTCACTAAATATAAATAAAACACATATCACTCAAATAATATTTCATATACACTATCAATAATCAAATTGCACGTATGATTAATATTAATTATATGTATTAGTAAGACATGAACAATTTTTAGATCAACTTGAGCCATATGAGTATAATAACATAAGTAGTACAAAATACAGTAATCAAAAAACCTAACCAACCTATGAGTTATGTTACTAAATAAAAATAATTAATGTTTACATGCGGAACTGCAGATGAAGGCGGCCAATTCAAAGCTCTAACTGTCTCGTGGGAACTTGGTTTTATTCTAAAATCATTCACACACGAATAACGTATTTTAATAATGTTACTATTATTTAGAAAATTGTAAGAAAAAAAAATTCTAACGGTTTTCTTTAACTGTATTACCTACCTACGTTTCAAAATAATAAATATTAAAGTGAATGCTACACCCTTATGTCTTGACGATATTGTTTGTGTGAGTTAAAAATGCGATAAAATAAGTACATCTACATAAACATAATACATATTATTTTATTGTATTTATATGGGTAACTCTACATAATAATTTTTAACACATATAATATCAATAAATATATCAATCACAGACTGTATTTTTATTTATTTAAAATATTATATTTTCAAAAACAACTATGAGTCGCAGTTTTATCAAATTATAACGGTTCTAAGACAATGGAATTCCTGTGAACACTTCATATCATTACCTTGTTGATATGTAGGTACTCTACAGAACTTTTAATTATTTAATTTTAACTGAATGAGTAATTTTAAATGGTATGTACTATAATATGTTATAAATGTTATAATATATATTATACATGTATTATACTTTTGTAACTTTATATTTTTGGTATATATTATATAATGATGTATATAATAAAGGATGAAATATTTTAATAAAACGGAGTTTAAAAATATTATAAACAGCTGCATGTTTAATTATTGATAATTTAACTGCAATAATATGCAATATCCACTTAATAGTCAACTTTGAAAATATTATAACTGAGAATCTACCATAAAAATACAGCATTACATTTAACAAATATTGAAATATATTTATATAAATAAGTTATAATATGTTATGAAAAAAAACCCTAATTTTTGTTAACTATTTTTTTATAACTTATATTGTCATACCTGATATCACGTATGACAAATTGAATTAATATAATAATATTATGTAGCATTTATCAAGAATAAGTATTCATATTACATATTATATTATTAAATTATTATCATGCCATCTTGATCTCTACACTGTAGCCATAATTTTATAATATCGAATCTTAACTTATCAATAATCTAAAATAAACTAAAATCTAATACATTTTATACTCGAGGCCTTACTGCCTTAGCAACAGTTAAATGATGAAAATATATAGGCATTAAGTGCCTGTATTATGTAATTCAATATAATTTGTTGTTTTAGTATTCTGACAGCTTTAGGTCAAGTTGTCAAAATGATAACTCCTACAGTGCTAGTATTTTAGGTACTAAACCTGGTGGTAACCAAACCCAGAATATATTATGGCAAACAACATACGCTACTCTGCGGGAACCAAGCAGACGGGACGTACACTCACACACACACAAGGGGTTAATGTACAGTTATACGACGATGTTATCTTGATTTCATAAAACCCAAATTAACGGTGTGTGTAGAATCAAAAATAGTCATATACATACAAAAATATGGTATACATACAAAAATATAGTATACATACACATTGCGGTGGAGCATTTATGTGTTTGTGTGCGAGTGTGTGAGAGAGAATATCGTGTTGGGCTCACGTCTGCCTCCAAGGGGTTTCGCGTTCATGGAAGTCTGCCGCCCGTGAGTGGGTTTCCTGCAATTCGTAATTACATCCTTAAGCGGCGTGTGTTAACCGTGAGAAAGTTAATACCCATAATACGCCAACTTAAGATAGGATTATGTAGACTTATATTGTTTCCAAACTTCATAATATTATATATCTAATTATTCAGATTTTTTTAGCGGTTAACCCTTCCGAAGAATAATTATAGATCAACGTTTACGTTGTGCACTGAAAAAAGTGTACAGCAGTTGTGCAGTATATAATACTATACTGTATAGATTGTATACATTTGTATATATTAAAGTTTATAAATGTAGATTATGTAGAGGTCATAATATATTATTATGGCGTTAAAAGTTTAAACGACCAAACGAAATCACCTGAAGTTTTACCATTAACGGGTTCACATTTTGCCATATTACCCGCATACATTTTCAATTGTATATGAATTTTTTTTTTCAAAATCATTTAAAATACTACCTAATGCATGTACCGGTATTGATAATTCTATATACATTATAAACATTGATAAATGTAGTTAATTTAAACATTAAAAAATACAATTCACAACATAGTACGTTGCACATTTATAATAAAATACTTTTCATATAAGTACCTAATACATTTTATATTCGAGTAGACGTCTATAAATATTGAGTTTTTACTAAAATTATTAACCATATTATTTATTAAAGACTAATCAAAATTAACTTATGAATTTCAGTATATAACTTAAGTGTTCTATACGTATTAACTTATTTAAGTAAGTACTTATTCTATAACAGTCGAACGGTAGATTAAACACACTGTTTCTTAGGACTTGCCCTTCAATCATCCTTACATAAATCAATAATAATATGCACTGGAAAATAGTCTTAATTGTATCAGAAAAAGAAACTAAATTTTTACTCTTTAAAATTATAGTTACCTAAGTTTATATTTAATTTAATATTGTTACACATTTCAACATTTGTGAATGCAAACATACATTGAGTGTGTATACGAATGTACGTTTGTGCGTGTTGTACCTATTAACCCGAGTAATACCTATTATTGTATATTATTGTATCCTGCATAGATCGATGTGTGGCCGTCTGGAGACATCAGTATTTTTAATTGCGGCGGTGCAATTACAAAAGAAGACGGTAAGACAGAGAAGGAATAGAACATTCCCTGTACGTTAATTATTTAAAGTGGACCATGTACCGTGTTGGTCATTAACTAATTGCCTGGCCAGAACCGATCGAGCAATCTTTTCTTGAGAAAAATGTCACCGGTCATTTTTTATTCTCAATCCACCTGTACACACACGATACATTTTTTTTCTCTTATACCATTTCTACTTATTTCCTGTGGCCGATGGATTTCCGTTGCTATTTCCTCAACGCTAGATCAACGGTTTCTGATGCAATGCCTACACAATAGTATTTCAGAAACGAGCCGATTAAAAATACAGAAATATCAATAGTTACAATTAAGTTAATGATTTTGTAGCTTAGTAATACCTACCCTAACGTGCGTGACTATACAATGCTCGGTGACCCACTCACATATTATATGATATTTTGATGATGCATGTTTATATTTTATTTAGGTATATAATTACAGAAACACAAGCACGTGGTTACGATTTGTGTTTGTAGATTTATAGTTATTTTATTTTTAGAAATTAAAACTTATGCAACATTATCTATATATGTACCGTAGCCCATGGGTCCGCGTGCAAATGATCATACCAAAAAAATCTATCGGTTTATTATCATACAAATTGAAAAATTAGTCTATAAACTTTGAAAAAGGAATAATAAAAATGTCTTGAAAGTAAAATTAAATATATCCAAAATCATAACATATTTACCCACATGATATAAGTAGTAACTTTAATTGTCAATTTACAATGTTCGCTTTCTCAAACACTATCGAGAATTTCGTTCTAATTCATGTTAAACTTTTAATCGGGAGACAATAAGACGACTAGAAGAAATATTATATTAGTACCTACACTTTCTGCCTTACTGATCCAAAAATATAAAACGTCATAGAAATGTTCTTAACAAAATTTGATATGATATAATGATTTCAATTCTAAAATATTGTCAAACAACATCTATATCAATTAGATACTAGTGTTTCATACTTATATTATTTTTAAATATTTGTATCAATCCTGCAAGGTGGGGATACCTGATGAATAGGAAATTAAAATAAATAATAATACAATAAATATTCATTGCCTTGATAATATTATTATGAAACTAAAATACAATTGATGGTAATTCATCAAAATTACCTACTTAATAATAAAGATAAGCTATAGTCAAAAGAATTATTGTTACAATTGAAAAAGAACATTTTCATTGTTATATATTATTCGTGACAGGAGCAACTAACAATAGCCATATAATAATATAATATTCAATATTTTATAATGTTTTTAATAACTTTACTCAATCTTATACGTGTTCTCATTTATATACCAGTAAGTTGTATGCTACTTATAATTATTAGTTCTGTTATATTAACTTAAGTTCTCTGAAAACATATTCGTTCAAATCGTATATTAACAACATTTTATGTTAAAATATCAATATTACACCATATCATACAAGATTTAATGTGTTTTTTTTCAAACAATGAATCTTACCAAACTTTCAATAACACATAGGACATAGCCAATTATTTTTCGTTTAACTGTTTGATTTCCCAAAAATAAAAATGGAATAAAACTACCTAAAACTAGTGTCAATTCTTTTTCATAAATACGTGTAAAATCATCATTATATAAAATATATGTAAAGAAACCAATTTAGACTATTTTTTCATTCGTCCGACAAGATATACTTAATATAATTTATTTTGTTCCAATTGTTAATGTATATTTTTACTAAAATTTAAATTTATAATTGTTTAAAATGTTATTTTTACCTAATAATTAGAAAATATAGATATATATTTTATATATTTTTTTTTTTTGGCATGAAAGAACCATATTTTAATCTGTTTTTGTTTACATTTCCCTATACTTAACGATCAATAAGACAACGACGAACTTTTATTCCTGTCTTGGAGACAAATTTCTTTATTATACATCCATGTGGAATGAGATAGGTAATTGGAAACATAATCTATTATATTATATAGGTATGTGTTTATTTTTTATTTTATATATAAATTAGTGATCGTGGCAAAGACAGTTTTTTACATATGTACATAAAAAATGTCACAACTCAAGATTGTTAAATACCTAAGTATAAAATATATTCTTATCGCATTACCAGTAGCGTTGACTGAGGCGGCGTCGACGTCGACGTCTTCGTCAGTGGTTGTGGACCCGACTCCGGCGGCGTGGGTGGATGGCCCGTGGCCGATCCCAAGCGACCGTCGGTCCGCAAGCAGCATCAGGAGCGCGACCATCCACGGACGAACCATCGTACGCAGAGTGATGACTACACGACCGCGTGGTCAAGCACAGACTGTTCTAGCGCACACGGCCGGCCACGCGCCTCGCTTCGCATAAACATCGTACACGTACGCGCGGTACTGTCGTATGTTACCTCTTCGCGTGCACAGAATATCGTATGTGTGCGTGCGTGCGTGTGTGTATTTGTGTGTGTGTGTGCGTGTGTGTGTGTGTGTGTGTGTGTGTGTGTGTGTGCGTGTGTGTGCGTACGTGCGTGCGTGCGTGTAATGTTTTCCAACCAGCAGTCACCGTTACCACCGCACCATTGTCGCTGTCCCGCGAGTGCGGCGGAAGAACGTCGGCCACGGCGACCCATCAACACACGACGTGACTATAGCTCGCGCCGCAAAGGTCACCACCGACCACCACTTTGTAGGCCGTAGTGTGTTCATCTTATCGCTTTTTCAACGCCGCCACCGCCGACGTGACGTGGTGTGTGGTCATCGTCGTCGTTTAGTGCAATCCGTCCGGATATTGCAGTCGTCGTTCATAAAATATCTGTATAATCGTTTACCGCAAAATGACGTTAAGGGTATTATTTCTGCAAACTACAAAAAGTGGCATCAGACATCATCGGCGTTTGTAAAAAATCCGAAGCATTAGATTATGCACAAAATATTTTATTTAGCAGAAGAAAAGAAAATTGAAAACGTATTATATAAATAAAAGTGCCATCAATTAGTATCTATTTCAAGGCGCTTTCAACAAAAGCTTACACATATAAACTTGTACCTAGATACCATATTATTTACCTAATGATTTAAGACAAATTTTAATTACTCTGTGTGGCGACTGTGTGGTGTTATAATAATATATACCTGAACAATTTCAATTTAATTCGCTGGAAAATGTACAGCAATAATGACTATAATAACTGCGTTATGCACTCTATCGCCTGTATTGTACCAAACGGATTTTAGTAATGCATAATATTATATAACTAATATAATCAAAACTAGACTTTACATTAAGGCAGTTGAACGAATTCACCGATATTATAAAAATTACATACATACCGAGAAGATGAACGATAAACGTCCTAACTGGAATCACAACTTTTTAAAACAAAACCAAATAAACCAGTTACAACAACGAGTAGGTACCTACCTACGCTACGTTCTCGTCATTAACACTATCGTTTCATTCATCAAACATTCAAATATATGGATAACCGCTAGTACATTAATTTAACAGTTTACCTACCATTCAAACAGAAAATAAATAACTGATAAATAATATTATGGAGTTAGAATTTTTCAGTCGGAGCTAGTGAAGTATAAATGATGGTATATTGTAGTGTATGTAGTAAATTGTAGTGTTTTTTGTGGGCTGTGTACTTACGATTTATCTGGTAGAACTATATTGCTGTATAATTGTAGAAATCTCATGAGACCTCGGTATTATTTTGAAATCTGAGTGTAGTCTGTAAACTAAGTTGTTTTCAGAGAGCCATTATGTTTATCAATTAATTTCGAACATTGGGACAACGCGATATGAGTGTCTGATGTTGTATTCAACAGGCTTCTATCATTGGGCATTTTTAATTAAAATAAGTCAGTATTATAATATTTGTAATTTTTATCATAATATTATGAACATTTTTAGATTCTAAGAAGAGCGATGAATGTGTTAATTTTACAACATACATATTGTTTTTTTTTGTGTTCGTAGGTACTAGTTACACGATTTCTAGTAGAAAAAATACTTTGATATTTAGATTTTTAACATCAATGTCTATTCTATTAGGAAAGTTAATCTAGTTGGTACTTTTAAGAAGTAAATTTTAAAACTTCTAATACTTTTTTGATAATGGGGAAAAACTAATAAAATGGGAAAAAAACAGGAAATTTAAACCGTATAAGTTTTTGACAATATCGATTTGCTTATTTTATTGCAATTCAAAAATGCACAACAGTAGATAATTTAAATTTCTATATTAGCATTGTCTACACATGGTCTAATTGTTAAAATATTTTGACTCTTTTTGAGTTATTTAGAGAAATTGGACATTTCCAATTTTTTCAGTTTGTTTCTTTAAATATTGATAAAACATTTTCATTTGGTTAAAAAAATATAATTCAAGGTTCCTCATGAGTTGTTATTAGAGCTAGTTATAAATATTTAAAACACATAGAAAAGATTTTTTTATAAGAATTTGAAATTAAATTTTTGATTTTGACAAAATCAAGAAAGCTAAGCATTGAAAATATTTATTTAATGTAATACAGAGTTTTCACTTAAGGGTGACCTCAGAGGGCCCCCTCCCATGCCCATACTTCTAAAAAATGTTGAACTGTTAAAGGCAAAATTACAACAACAAAACATATAATGTCGAATGTTCTCCTAAAAGTATGTCTAGTCCCCCCCCCCCTTCAACCATGTTCTTTACACCTACAGTTCAGCAGAGCGGTACCTCCTTTCCTACTTTTTTTCTTAAAACAATTTGCACATTTATTTAATATGTTAAATAATAAGTATGTAATATATAATGACATGACTTAAAGAAAATCACCCAATGATAACATCTTTGATTTCTTACCATTTAAATATTTTGAAATTAAATTATCATTGAATACCTATGTAATTAGTATATAATATGATTCAACTGTTCTCAGGTTACACTTATACATATTTTATATAACTATATATCTTAATCGCAAGTGTATCTAATAGTTAAACATATTTTCAAGTAATTAGGCAGCATTTTAACAGACAGTAGAAAATTGACAAAGAAAATTAGATGCAGAACAGGACAAGCGAAAAATATTTTCTTTAAAAAGAAGAAATTACTGATGGTAAAAAATACGAACATAAATACCAAAAAGAAGCTAATAAAAACGTATGTTTTGTTTAGCTGTAAGATATTTTAATTGTTGTGCTACCTTTTTTTATAAAGGCTAATAAAAAAAAAACGTATGTATGGAGTGTGTGGCATTATAAAGATGTAAATTGTGAGATATGGACAACAACATTAATAGATACTTTAAAGAAAATGAGATGACCGATGGACTCACTCTAAGCTTTTGCGGCTAAGGGATGGTGATAAATTACACAGTTTTACAATTAAAGAATTATAGAAGGAACATGATTAAAACGAAAATAAACAAAATAAAGAGTATGCGAAAGTCAATACTTTCAACAAAATAACTCAAGGATATAGGTCAAAAAATAGGGAAACAGAGAAAACATTTGTTGTAAATACATTTATTGTAAACCAATAATTGGACTGAAAAACTAAAACAATAGGGTGAGGTGGGGCAATTACCCTATCTTCACCATACCCGTTCTCCCACTTATAAAAAAATCATGCCTATGAACTTCAATATTTCTCAACTGCCATTATAACTTACAACTTATGAAGAACCTTGGATAAAATTTTCTAGCATTTCGAACTAACGAAAAATTTTTATTGACTTTTTCTTTTGCTTATAAATACTTCATAAAAGCCAAAATATATTGAAAATTGTACGGTGTACATAAAATGCCAGTTTAAACATACGGTGTAAATTTAATATATCAAAATAAATTTTTTAGAGTTCCACCAAAAATCGAGATGGATTTTTCGAAAACTGGTTTTGCGTAAAATTCTCAGTTTTTCCTTAAGATTAAGTCAGGTTTTCCTGATACTTTTGAAAACTAGTGAAAACTGTTGAGTTTTGGCCTACCCCCCCCCCCCCCCACCTACAAATAACCAACTAGATTCACTTTCTTATAAGAAAATATGCTGTTCAAGAAAATCGAAACATTTTTACACTCTCCAAAAGATGGCAACAAGACACTACAAACACATATTGTAAAATCAATACATTAATCACATCTTATGATCACAATCTTAAAAATTATTTTTTTTTTCTTCATTAAAGTCTAAGATACATAAACGATTTTAAATAGAACTAAAAATGCATATCTTTTTTCAGTTATTAAAAATGTTATCAATTTATTATTGATTTAAATTAATCTTTTGAGATTGCAAATCAGTCATTTCAATCTTCAATCAAACTTTTCGATACATAATTTATTTTACAAGTTGACAAAATTAAACCGATCAAATATTTCCTATTCATTCCACTATAATACATAATATTATCAGAATTGTTCTTGATATAATATTATCGGAATGTACAGTTTTGAGTTTCGCCTTATTCATAGTGTATAAGCAACCCAACTTGATGATATGTGTATGTCATCACATTTATTAAATATTTACCTAATGTTTTTAATTTTCTTCAAAATTAAAATATTTAAAAAATGCTTACTGGGAGCTTCCTAAAATAATATTATTGAGTTTGGATTTCAAAATGAGTCAATATTTCCTATCATATTAAAAATAATAGATTAAAACTGATTATTCTGAACGTACAATTTGTTATGTTGTGCTTTAGACGGTAAGAGATAACACTACTGGTATGACTTATTTTCAAAACATCTTATAAAAATAAAAATATTATATGAAAATACTGAGTTAAATCAATACTTTTCACGATTTTTTAATGATATTTCGTGAAAAATTCTGATTTAAAAGATAAGCCGATGCAATTTTTATTTTATGTATTGCAAGATATTCTTCGGAACGAAATTTCAAATTGACCTAATCACTATTAGATTCTTATTAGTTCTCTTAAATTTTAAAAATATAACATTTGTCTAAATAAAAATTCATAATCTTAGGTATATTTAATTATTATATTAATCCACTATTGTTCGTGTATATTATGTCGCATCCACAAAGTGTTATCCTTATCACTTAAGGTAATAGTTATTTAAAAGTTATTACTTACCCAATAATAATAATAATAATTATTATTATTATTATTATTACTTATTACTGTAATCGAACTTTTCATAAAATAGATAATATCCGTTATCCATTTCGGCCTAAATAAATGAGTCATATATGCATAATTTATTAGTAATAATCAAATCAAATTAAAAAAATTAATTAAATCATCGTCGAAATTAATTTTATATTACTTGTTTGATTTTGTGGAACTATATAGTGTATATGTATTATTGCTTTTGCGTATCACCTATATTCAAATCCTCACTAGTTTTGCTACAAAGTATTTTTTTCTTAGTCTGACCAATACAGTATAAGTTCAACAACTTTTGAAACTATACTTTGTTTGTTTATTAATGTGATGTAAACTTTATTTAGTTAGTTACAAAAGATTTTGAAGACAATATGTTACAATATTGATGAACGTTAAACAATTTTATCCAATTACGTTGTGAATTTAAATTTGTTGAAAACAATACAACTAACGTACCATAAATAAAATATAAAAAAGCGGGTAAGTGGATGTCGCTCTGCTGTACATTAGCTGTCTAGAGGTCGCAGTAATAAATGGTATTAAATTTGAATTCAATGATATCAAATCATTGTATACGAAAAACGATTCTGAGCGGAGACAGTATGTCAGTCTAGGATATTTTATATTGTTATTACTTATTATTAATATGATGATAGCCGGTAAGTTGAATTAATATTATTCTTAAATTATCAGTGATGCTGGAAAAATATTAAATATACCTATGTAAAATTGGGCTGTTTTGGAACCGAATTACAACAAAATGATAACCATTATTCTTTGTGTTAATATGCAATTTTGTCCAAATTTGAACTTAAATATCTATTTAAAAAAACTGTATTTATATTAGATTTTTTAGATTTTTTAGCTACGGAAAAAACTTTTTAAGTGGAACCTATTTTTAAATTTAAATTTTGATAAATGTTTGTCAAAATTTGAACTTTGAATGCGTATAAAAAAATCGTGCCAATGCATTTTTAATATTTTTCAACTGCTACTGTGATGATATATCAAGAGTTTTGTATAAGATTTCCATACTTCTTGACCCAACCAATAACATTTTATTGAAATTTATATTAAAAAATTTTAAAAATGATAATTGAAAATATCCGTCAACAGCTTAAAACGAGTCAAAATATTTTGAAAATTCTATCAAGTATATAAATTGTTGAAATTAACATATAGTGTAAATTTCAGGTGTCTATAGTAATTCGTTTTTAAATTACAACAAAATAAGAAAATCGTTACATGAGAAATCGAGTGAATATCCAATGTTGTGAAAATTTCAACTTCAAACGCGCATAAAAATTAAATTTAACTTTCCGGTAGAAATTTTCTTTTACTGCCCCAAATCGTAATGACAGACACAAAAATAAATATAAAAACACACAACATTGTATATTCATTGCTCAGCTCAGAATCTAAAATAAAAAAAAATAAAAATGTAAGTAATTTTTTTCTCTCATAAAGGTTATTCAATTTATAATAGATTGCACACCATAGGGGTACTAATTATTACTTAAAGCTCATAAAATATTTCGATGATAACATTTTTTTTCGTCTTATTAGTAATGATAAAAAACGTTGATATTGCCATGAGATTTTGTACCGCAGGCGTGATTAGTATTTCTCGATGACCATTTCACAAAAAGTTACAGATATATGCTGCGTAAATTAAAACAAGTAGTTTCCATTTCATGTATTAGATCAAGTTTGTGTTTATTATATATTTACATGCCTGTTACAATACGTTTAAGACATAAATCGTTTATAATAAACATTATATCGGTTAGGTTAATAGTTGGTGGAGAAAGGTGGTTAAAAAATTAAAAATAGAGAAAGTCGTTAGTATGACCATTTGGTAGTTTTCTATGTTGAAAAACATAGCTAAAAGATATTTATGACTAAACTCTATGAAAGTTTTAATTCACGACGGAAAGTAATAGCATTTGATATTAGTATATATAACATATTACAAATAGGAACCTATAAGTTTTGACTTTTGGGAATATCAAGTACCCGCTCAATGATAATACCAATGACTAGTCACGGACTCAAGTGAAAGCTTAAAGTCAAGTCATGATGTATTTATAAAATAATTCCCGCCTGCACAAATTACGTTCATTTTTCAACTTAGTATTCTCATTAGTCTAAGGCAGTAGGCAGAGGACTTCTAGCTCTAAAAAATCACCAAATATGAACTAAAATATACGAGATATGCATTTTAAATTATTATGTATTTAATCATTAAAAATTTAATTTTTAAAATTTATTAATTATTAAAAAAAAATAATAAAAATAAGATTATTTGTATGAGTATATTTAATTAAAAATTTGATGTCTGCGACCGACGGTAACGTCACCATGGTGCGCATCGATATTTTATGCAGTGAACAATATCTGTCTATAAATAAAATTAATAACCGGAAAATAAATCTAATCGGTAATCCTCCAGACGTGTTTCTAGGAAAACATACGTGTGGGAACAGTCAACAACCATAAATTAATAGGATCAAAATTTTAAATAATTTTAAATTCAACATTATTTTGGTTATATATTAAATATAATTAAATGAAAAAAAAGTCGACAGTAAAAATATCGATGAAATGATAAATTATTTAAAATATTCATCTAAAAGTATAGAATCGAAGAAATATGCTCTAAAACCAAAAAAACCTCAAGTTAGCTTCGTTTCATTACAAAACGTATTTGTTTCTTACTCTGCTATTTTTGAGATCGTGCAAAACAAATATGCAAATGCTACAAGTCCCCTGCCCCACAGTCATTACCTACCTAAAGTTTCTATGTTTTAAAACATATTAAACATTTAAGCCCTGCACATAAGTATATTATTTTGGTAATTACTGAAATACTGATTTACTACTTACTAATCGTTACTGAATTTTCTGGTTTTATGATAGTTTTGAGCTGCCAACATGTTTCGTGCTGATTAGTAATTGCTAAATACAATTTAGATTTATAATTCGTGTTAATACGTAAATGATTATTGGGTATCTTAAGTCTTAACTTAAATTAAAGTATCAGGCCACAGTTCGTACGGACGTTTATCAGTGTAGTAATGTCTATAAAGTACCTATATTATACTAGGACAAGAAAATATGTGTATAAAAACGGCAATAATTAATTAATAACCTATAAGTGGCGATAAAATATTTCGCAGTGATGTAGGCCGCTGTCTTGGCGACAAAATACTATAATCTATATGTATCTAAATATCTTACCCTACTAGCACGGACAATATAATCTGGACTACTAGTCTACTACCCCGCACTAGTGCACTACTATTCATATTGAGTAAACGAGTAAACAAAAAACGCCCTCTATAGCTTATTGCCACTTCCCATACGCTCATTGTTTGTCTAGTATCAAGGTGTATTGATATCAATATCGTATTGTTCTGTAAACATCTCACAACGAGTCAAAATATTTTGAAAATGTCTTCAAGAATAGAAAATGATAAATTAAACATTTGGTGAAAATTTTTAGTATTTATGGCTATTCGTTTTTGAATTACAACAAAATAAGATAATCGTTCCATGATTGATAGTGAATATCCGATGTCCTAAAAATTTGAGGAAAGTTTAAATGTGATTTTGTAGAGGGACTTATGGGCACCCATCCACCTACAAAATGTCTGCCTATGAAACTGTCATCAATCTACCTAATAACTTATATTGTATGTATTGTTCTATTTTTTGTAAATACCTACATGATTACTCCGTACATATATTGGCCCAAATAGGATATAGCTCGGAGGAAAATCCCCCCAAAACAAAGTTTTCGTGAAATAGGTAATAGGTAATATATTTATCCCTCCACATATATTTTTAATCATTATTTTCCCACAAAAAATTGAGTTATTTATGCCTATTAAAGTAAATACACAATTTTGTAAGAAGGCAATATTACAATATTTGTATTAAAATAAAAATGTAATTGGCCCAAATTTGTTTGTGAACAAAGCGACATGTTTTTAGTTTCAGTTTTATTATGGGCCCGGTCAAAACTTTCCTCCCCCCTCCTTCTCAAAAATTTTAATGACGCCACTGCTTAAGTTTATGATATAGGTGCTACACTGCTACACGCTACTAAAATGTTGACCATAACATTAAAATTATAGGTAATCTAAATTATCAACATATATTATGTATTATGCAACGATGTATATTAAATCCATTAGTAACGTAGGCACTTAATAAAATAAACTTTACAGTTTATAATCTTTGTACCACTATACTTATTACCTATACCTACAGCTATTATACGTCTATACTTTAGGTATGCATATTGAATAAATTGACTGGTTTCAGTGGCTGATGATCGCCTTGAGCATAAGATAGTATGATAAATATTATTACTTTCACCTTCAAAGAATTTTGGATTAAGGGAATATTAAATACTTACATGGAACTTACTCAGGACAGATTCTAAACGTAGTTGCGGGTACAAGATAATAATATACAAGACTGCCAGTACATCATTTTATGGAAATGGGATGAAAATATTGCATAAACCAGTCAATTCTTAACAATAATTATTTTTGTTATGTGCTACCTATATAATCGTGAACATTGAAACATTTGACTAACATTTTCATTTATAAAATAAATTATGTACTCTTGTTGTCTATAAAACCATTTTAGTTTAAAGTATATTGAAGTACAAATTTATTCTCTCATAATATGATCATTTTTCTACATTTAACTGCAGAATGCAGAATGGTAATCTTTTTGGTACCTATTCACACACCTATTTTAAATATACTACGACGTAATACTGTTCTTAAATTTAAGAAAAGGTTTGAGGTTTTCTCCAGCGTCTAATTGTAATTTGTATTTTGTAAGCATGAACGTAGGCGTGCGTAGACTTTGGTCGCGGGGTATGCGGCTAATAACATTATGTGCTCCCCAAAAATATAAAAGCTCATAATACAATTTACAAATATATATAAGAACGATTTTATTTTAACTGCTTCTTATTACTTTGGAAAAAAAAATTGTTAGGTATGTTGGCTTTGAACCTTTTTTTTATTAGGCCGTGTTTATTGAAAAGGATATAATTGTATAATTCTTATCACATAATTATGCATTGAACATAATATATCGTACATACAAATATTGTTATTTTTTCTTTCAAAAAAGTGTAAATTTGGACCTACCCCAGCCAAAAATATATGCAAACTAGCAAACATTTACCCTGCATATATACCCCGTTAGGTACCCCTATGGTACCCCTATGAGCACGAAAATTGTTCGATAATGCAGTCCTCATATATTGGTAGTAAACAGTATTTGTAAAAAACAGAATCACATTAAAGATGTTAAATAAGAGCAAATGTCTATAGATTTTCTGTTGTTTGTACTACATTGTAATTATTTGTAGACTAAGTCGAGTTAGTAGATACTAGATACACACGACACATTTACAGGTAAAGAAATTAGTCAAGTAATCTAATTCTTTAAAGTTTTCCTTCTAAATTGTTTATTAGTAGTACCTACTTTCTAAGCTTGAAGTATAAATGTAACTGTAGAAAAATAAACAAACATTGAAATCATTAAAATAAATAATATAAATTTATTCTTTGAATTAAAATATTTTATGTTGAAAAAAATATGTATATAAAAACAAGGTTCAATAACATATTCGTATGTAGTTACCTATATACATTTAATAAATCTGATCATGTTTATTGTTTGTAATATCTTTAAGGCATAGAAAGTAAATGTAGGTATATGTATAAGCATTTGTCAAAAAAAAAAAATAATAATAATAAAACAGTGGGTGAAAGCACTTTCGTTGAAAAACAAAAATACTTTCTCTGTTAAAAACTAATCAATAACAATGTTGTGTAAGAGTCGTATCACGAAGATGCATAATGTGTATTAGAACTCAACGTTGAAATATATTAGAAAATATAAGAACATTATTATTCAAGACGCGAGTTACCCAGACTTATTTTAGGAAGACAAACTAAATAATAATATATGAAGCCAAATTAAATTATATAATAGCGTTTTCATTGTTTTCCAACTTGATCGACTTGGGTTTGAAGGTTGCTGACCACCTCTGGAGGTACGTGGTCACCGAGGATCTCGAACAGGTTGATAGCCTGTGAGCCAGGTATTGACTCGTATGCGACTAACTCTACGCCTTCTTGGACCTTCTGAATCTGAGCATTTTGGGGTATAAGATGTGTACTCTGTGCTTGTCTGATTGCTTCGTTTGTGAATATAGCTCCATCTTTAGATCCTTGTGGCATTGCTAGGCACACAGCCATCATGCACGTGCCCAAAACCACAATGGTCATAAACGAATTCATAGTTCTAGTGGGGAAAAAATATATTTAAAAAAAACTCGTTATGCCGTGACCCAAAATGCTTATAAACACTGTTATTATAATGGGTAGTTACAACAGTATAATATATAAGTATGTAATAGGCACTATTATACAGTCTATAGATAATTGTATATTATACAGTAATGTCAAACGCTCTCTAAATTACTATGTACCTATTATATAAGTCCTCGGCCCCCACTGATTTATAGATTTCATAATATAAATCCTAAAAAAATTTAAATTTCTATTACGAAATCTGGGATCAAGTGTATTCTCTTGTACAACAATTAACCATAATATTATTATTATGATTTCATGTTAACAAATAAACAAAATATATATATTATAGTGACACTGATCCACTATTAAATACATTATATAATACAAGTGTTAAGAGGGCGTCTCATCCCCAGCATGTGTTTACATCATCTTACAAACGTGCAACTATTGGTCCACGGTACGTATACAAGTGTACAACATAGAACATTTGAGTTCAGCACTTTAGCAGAACCAATTCTGTGTTGTTTTATTTTAGGTAGCGATACCGTTAATACTAGAGAATTGATATATTATTTCCAAACTTATAAGTTATAACTTATACGAACATTATCTGTATTTGCAGAGGGTAATGGTTTTAAATTTTTATTTTTAAGCAAATTACGAGTAGTTATCTAAATTATTTAAGTTTAAAAATACTTATAAACTGTTTAAAAATTAAAAAATCATAAAAATCAATGTACAAATATATAAATAATGTTCTTACCTTTAAGTTTTATAATTAGTTAATTCACTATAATAAAATACTAACGCAAAATCGGTTGTAGTTGTAGTTCGACATCTTCTTAGGTAGGTAAACAGTTTAATAATTTCCAATATAAAACAATATTTATGGTGAAAGACACATAATGGTGGTTCATTAAAAACATTAATAATTAGTTTAACTAATGAATTTAACTCCTAATTAAATGTAAATGATTTTTTTCTCTTATAATATTTGCATATTAATTGATGTAGGTACTTGTAATAAACTCTATCCTGATTTATGTCTACAGTAATTTATTTTGAATGTTAAAATAAGTAAATAGTCAAATAGACATGATGTGTTTGCTGATAAATCAACTTACAAATAAATTTACAATTACAAAAATATCTGAGAAAATTAACGATTGTTATCAGGTTTAAATTTAATATTTTATAACATTCCTCATTGATCATTGTTCGTTATTATTATTTATTAAATATTTAAACATCAGTATTATCTATTTCAAAAATAAATAAAGCTTACCTGAGTAAATGAAACTGTTGTCGTCGGTGTGTTGACTCACGAGTCACGACATAATGAAAGAACGCAGTGCGTTTTATAAGAAGACTAAAACAAATCATATGATGTGTGTACTCTAGTGGGAGTACAGTCGTCTGTCAGAAGCGAATTGAATTACTTTCTCCGGGATAATTTATGAAAAACCTTTCATTAAACATAATACATTAATACGCACGTGTCAGTGGATATTCATTTAATTTTGTTCGGTGTAAGTTTCCAAACAAATGAGACGTTTTCAATATTGATGTATTAAAATATTGCTATAAATATAAAACATCTTTTATTGGTAAAATAATAATTTCTAAAAATCACATACAATTTTTTTTTAGCAATTTCATCGTTGTGCGTAAGACCCGTTCCTAATTCATAAGTACCCATCAATTATCGTAAAAAAGAAAACATTATTGTTGCTCACTAATTTACTTAAGTTGAAATATTATATAAATAAATCGTCTAGTAGAGAAAACTGCTATTGTTATATATTTCTGATAAATTGAAGATTTTAAAAATGCTAAGTTCTTTAGACATCAGCTATCGTCCACGATTTTCAACGAATGTAAAATCTAAGTATATAGATATACAATATTATAGTTGCACGAAAAAAAATTAAAAATGAGCATTTCACAACTATAATCAAAAAGCCGATACATAATTTTTATAATGGATTAATAAGGTATATCATTAGTACTTACAACTTTTAAGTACTCAAATGTATTTTAGTAGGCATTTTACACTATTATAGATCATAATATATTTTATATCTCACTTGAAATCAGCTTTTTTACACAGTTAACGTTTTTTTAAAATAATTTATTAAGTTTTGGGAAAAGTTCGTAATCAATAGCTTTTATCATTCCAATTTCCATTGGTCAATTAATAACTTTAAATAGAATATTTACTAATTGTGATGACTGCATTTTCATTAATAATTTAAAATATAGGTAGGTATTAAGTTTTAGGTACTATATTAATTCAATAGACAATAATACAAAATTGGATACGAAAAAAAGTAAGAAAGGTTTTGAGCGGAAACGGTGTGTCAGACTTAATGCTTATATTATTATAGGTAAGTAGTACCTAGACTTCATAATATATTTGTGTTCCTATTATATCATTGCTAGTTATTTATTTCACTACCTATTGGTAATACGGTAGGTTGAATTAACTTTTGCCAAAAACATTGCATTAATTAAACTGTTAATAATGTTCATTATCATAATACTATAAATGTGTATCATAAAATATTATTGTTATTATTATTATTGACTTTTAAACAATCACTGTGTACCTAGTACCTTATAGTAAAATACAACAATACACGTAAGAGTTTCAATTCCATACAGTGAATAATAAGGAAATAACTAAAATTGGTTAAGCATCTAATTTTGTCAAAACTTGAACTTCAAATCTCTAAGAAAAAATTGTGATGTTGGTTTTGTGATGTTGAACATTTGATGTTGGTACTTCTGGGTTCGGTAAGAACTACTTATGAAATTAGTATATTTGTATTAAAAACTGATTTATGCTGTAACACTATCCATTGAATTTTGTCACAATTTATTGTGGTAGCAATATTTTATATATAAGTCAAGATACATATAAAATACAGAAGAGTGAAGACATTATACATTATTTAAACGACATGATTATAATTTATAATATTATGATAAACATTTAGCAATGACGTAGTGGTCAGCCCCCTCTGCCACATCAAATTTTGGGTCCATGTAGGTACTAAAATATGTTTTTGCGGGCCATGATACACAAAAATTCCAATAAAATATAACTCATTTACTCATTACAAGCGATACGGGTGTCCTACACACGATTTCTAGGTACCTAATCAATGATTAACCCATACCTTAAAATAGCAAAATTACTTAAAATATTATCATAAAATGTTATGTAATATAAAATAAGAATAATAAAATAATGAATTTCAAAAATTTCAAATTTATTTCAAAGGGCCCTTGAACTCCGGGTCCAACCACCTCGGATGTTCCCATTCGAACCACATTTGGGTGCTCTGGCAGTGGTTAACGAAATGTGGTACCTATTCGATGATCACAATAATTACGTTCACTTATCATTCATTATCATTTTATGAAAATTCCCATTTGTATTATGATCTTACTATATTTTAAAAAAATGTAAAAACAAAAATTAAAGGGGCACTCGATTTTTAGAACGATAAAAAAAATGTACATAGTTTTTTTTTTTAAATGTACTGTTAATTTACGATACCGGTAAAATTATACACAATATAAATAATATAATCATTTTAATAACTCGGAAATTATTCATTAGAATTTTGATTTAGGTCCCTACCTATATCAACATTTTCAAGAAAATCATCCACTAATTCATTTGGAGTAAAAAATTCTCATTTGAAAAATAGAAGTTTGTACCGCAACAGAACTACACTCCTTAAGTAGTACAAAAAATATCAGAACTTTAATAAGTGTAGCCAATGTAGGTAGGTACTCACTATTTTTTTTTTTTTCATTAAAAGAAAAAATATATGTACAATCTATATTATACTATAGAATAAGTAATACGGTTAATAAATTTACAAAAATTGACGGCTTGATGGTAGGGGGTGTCCAAACAACACTTCTTCAATTTTAGACTTTTGTTTTTTTTTATTGATTGAGTAGGTCCCTGGGCCAATTTCGCTTTAGACGACGTGGTGGCTTAATCGGGAGAGTGAGGGAGGAGAGATGGGCGGTACTCTTTTCGCCCAAAAATGACCCTTCGCTTTTTGCCCACGTCTCTTTTTGCCCAAATATTTTAAAACTACTTTCCCTTTTCGCCCAAGAATATTTAATAGCACTTTCCGACCAAATTTTTTATAGTACACACTTTGGGAAACACTTACTTGAAATTATTTAATTATTTATAATATATTATGAATTTATTTGTAGAAATGATATACTTATAGTTTCCAAATATTATAAAGATAAGATTAAGATATTAAGCGGTCGTACTATCAACATTTTGACGATTTATACTTTTGATAAAAACTTACTTATATTATATAAAAATTATATTAATGTACAAAAACACAATACATTTTTGGAGAGTAAGAGAAGTCGCCTCCTCGTGGTACCCTCTGGGTATAAATAGTTTTATAAAACTAATTAACACAAATAAATAAATTTAAATATGACAAATTTATTATTATGTTGGATATTAAGATAGTTAGAATATATATATAATTTCAAGTAAGTGTTTCCCAAAGTGTGTACTATAAAAATTTGGTCGGAAGGTGCTATCAATTATTCTTGGGCGAAAAGGGAAAGTAGTTTTAAAATATTTGGGCAAAAAGAGACGTGGGCAAAAAGCGAAGGGTAATTTTTGGGCGACGGGGTTTTGCCCGGAGAGATTGGAAATGAGTGGATTAGGGTGGTTGACTGTGTTATTGTGAAATATATTTAAATATTTATAGTAGTGGGAGGCAAGGGTATTAATGATTGGGATTTTGAGGTCGGTACTCACTATTAAAGTGAAAATTGTGGTTTATCTACGAGTGAAAAATCTCCTTGTATAATCATATTATATTAACGGTCTACCGAGGAAAGTGTAATAAACACGACCACACGGGTATTCCGGTATTCGAATACCCGAGGTTTCCGACTATAAACTATGATATTTGCACTGATTAATTTATAATTATTCTTCGTTATTACTTATTCGTCAATATTTAATGCTGAAAACCCGAAAATTCGAAAAATGAAATATTATATCATTTGATAAAGGTATAGACAGTTAAGTTGTAGTCATAGATAATAAAGATATGGATAGGACATATTGGTCTTATCAGCGGTCTTCGAGGGGAACAATTGAGGTCAAATAAAGTATTCTTATATTGAGTATCGACTATCAATATAAAGGAGCCTCAATTGCCTTCTCCTCCGGGAACGCGGCCTCAAATGTATTTAACATAGGCGTGGCCTATCCATATCTTTATTATCTATGGTTGTAGTCCACACTCCACAGATTTCTATACAGTAGGTCACTGATTTTCATCGTTTACTATTCATGTTTAGGTTGGTCACACTAGCATTGCGGACGGTTACTTTTCAAAACTAACAATATTCGGTTATCTCAGCCCTCAGGTAGTCCTCCGTGATTCCGCATATTTCGATTTATTCTTCATTGTTTGATTGTTATTGTTGTAATTATTAATTGGTGTGTCTTTCGTTCGCCGAGTGTTCTGATTATTTAGAAAATAGAAATTTTACAAATATTGAAATATGTATTAGGCACCAATTGACCAATCATATTCATGTACACATTTTTGAAACAGTTAGAGATATCATCTGCCCATCGCCCATCTCGATTCTCGCGTTTCGGTAATTCGGTAAACATTTAGATTAAGATTTATATTTCCCTTCTAAGTTATTTTCATTAATTTTGAAGACCATCACTTGCCTGTTCGCATTTTAGTTTAATTGTTTATTGAATATGATTTTATCGTCAATAATGATTCATTAACTACGTTGTCTGTATTATACTGTTTCCAAACCACCGGATATACCAATAATAAACAAAAGAGTAAGTAAATTATAATAACCTTATTAGAATATTAAGTTTACAGTCATTATTTTAACATATTTTATGAGATTAATTAAATATGTATACCTTTCTCAAAACAATATCAATAAAAATAAAAATTAATTGTATTCTTATTATCTCATTTAATTTGAAATATTTAACAAGAAACTATTCATAGCATTACGACTATTAACAATGTCTAATAGTATATTAAAATAAAAAAATTCTATTGAGTTTAAATTCAAAATCAAACTATTCAGAATGTATAGTATAATATAATATGTGTATTGATAATTAAGTAGTTACTTAGGTTACATTTTTTTATTCATACATTTAAAGTACCTATAGACGATTTATGGGTTGTAGTTGATAAATACAAATTTCAAGAATTAAAATTATTTTTATATTATATTTAGTTACCTGTTACTTATATAAGCGATTCCAAAACTGCAAAGAAATGCACTTAAGGAAAGAGACGCATAGTAAATCCTAGAAATCCTAAACTATATACCATGTGCTTCTTTTTAGACTATTTATGCATTCATATTAACTTCATTTTTTCAATATTATTTGGTTCTACTAATAATTAAATAATCTTTTACCTATTTTATTTTATACTATTGAAGGATTGGTAAAATTTTTATTTTTAGGGAGCCAAAAAAGTAAGGCAATTACTAATGTACTGACCTACCAAATAATAAATAATAATACACGTATTAATCAACAAGTTATTCTAAATGAAAATGAATAACCTAATGAAATAATAATACGTAAAATAATATTTTTATTAGTCTTAATTAAATTATTGTGGGTTTATCGAATATTAATAATAGTATTTTTTTAAATATTTTTTAGGTATTTTGGCTTAGGTACCTATTTAATAAATTGTAATAATATTCTATTGAATATAGGTCTACTAAAATGTTGGTTCTATAATATAGTTTATCATACCTAACATTTTATATATACAAAAAAGAGTACCTATCTATATAAAATATAAAAGTGTTACATTTTCCTACATTCGTACCCAAATTGTCAGTACTCTTAGATTTTAGTACATAGTTAGCAAAATAATATTTATAATAGGTACCTAATAAACAACTAAACTTACTGATTTCCTTGTTAATTTTAGTACAGGAATGTCAGTATTATTCTTGGTTTTGGGAGATGATGCATTTTTTAAATTATAAAATGATGTATACTTTTTTTGCAATACCCAGTTTACTATAACATAAGCATGATTTATAAATAAACTAATAATATATTTAAGAAAAATGTAGTTGGAATTTTATTTTATAAATATTCTTTCTTCTGTGTAGGTATACATAATATACCACATAGTGAAAACATGTTAAAATAATAGAATAAGTTGGGTAAAAAATGATGTATACATGATCTACTTATAGTAGATCTACTTTTAATAAGTAGGTGATACAGTTCATAGTATAATATTATATTTTAAGAACAATTATACATAGTACTATACATTTATAATTAGGGAGATATTTACTTAACAATTCGTAAGATTATTTGATTGCGTTTAAACAGTTACGGATCCACGGATACTTGTATTTTTACTGATGAATAAAATAACTTAAACCATCAGTAAGAAAGTGAGTAGTCGTGGATTTCAAACCATTATTAAAGCCATCACACAAATATAAGACTAGTTTTAAGTTGGGTTTAAAAATGATACATTACGAAGTGGGCCTAAATTATTCCTTGGTTTAAAAGTTGTTGATTGAGTTTCAGTTAAATATTTTTCAATTTCTTTATCAGCTTTATAAATTAAATCTAAAGTTGGCAAGGTAACCATTGTTGTTGTTGTATAAACTATGTCTGGAATGCTTGTGTATGTTCTTTTTGTTATAGTCAAAGATGGTCCATTTTGAATTGTTTCAAATTCGTCAGGATATTCTTTAGGGTACGTAATTTTTCCAATAACGGAGCGAAGAGAGTCTTGAATTGGTAATAATTTTGTTTCAATAATAAAAGGAGTAGTTGAAGTTGACTCTGATTGAGAATCGAATAGTTCATCATTGAGTTTTGAAGAATTTGTACAACTATTATTTACACATGAAGCAGTATTATTTTTCTCTAATTCCAGATAAATAGTGTCATTGTACATTTCAGTTGCTTTATTTATATTAATAGATATATTTTTTAGATTATATTCAATGTTTTCTGAAATATTATTTTTAATTTTTTTGTTATTAAAATTGCTGAGTGGTTTATTGAGTAATTCATTTTGGGGAGATTCAGTGGCTGTTTCTTTCATATTTTGTAAGGTTGTTAATATTTTAGGTAAACTTGTTGTATAGGTATTTTTTTTTTTCTGTGTAGTATCTAAATTTGTATCAAATGATATTTGTTGTGTCTGTGTTTTATAGCCAAAGTTTGGTCCAAACATATCTGTTGTATCTTCTAAATCCGTAAATGTATTTTCTGTATTTATCTCATCCTCAATTGTTTTTTGTAGGGTGTTCATTACTAATTTATGAGGTGTACCAATTGTTGATTTATCAGGTGCTCTTGGTGTAGTTGCTTCCCTCGACTCTTCGTAATCCATTTCAGTTGTTATATCTATTTCAGATGTTATAGTGGAAAGTTCAATCATTGGTTTTTCCGTATCTAACATTAAATCATTTGGATTAAAAATTTCGACTTGCGTACTACTTGTTTCAGGTACTGAGTTACTAATTTCTTCAGTAGCTGGTTCCTCTGTCAACCCTATAATAGTTTCAGTACCATTTTGATCTGTTAATATTACTGAATTATCAATATCTGTTGTAGTTTCAAATAATTCTTCAAATTGTGGTACAATTTCTGATGCTGTATTATTTGTTATAAAGCTAATATCAGTGGTTTTTACATCTGTTGTAATATTATCAATTTCAAAACCTAAAAATGAAGTGTTTGAACTTTCAATGAGATCACCCACAGTTACTAAATTAATATCATTATCTGATTCATTAAAAGAAGTATTTTTTTCAAGTATTTTATAAATATTTGGTAATGAAGTGTTGATGTCCGTAATTAATTTTTCAGGGTCATAAATAGGTATTGTTGTCACAAAATTTGGAACTGTAGTCAATTCTTGTTCTTGGCTTTTTTCTGTATCTCTTTTCCAAATACCGTCTTCGTTGTAAGTCTGTTCTGTAGTATGTAACCAGTAATCAATATTTCGGCTGTTTGATTTCTTAGAATTCATTGATTCTTTCTGTTTTTGTTCTAAAAAAAATTATCTCATTAAATATGTTTTTTTTAATAGTATATCCATACATATATACCTATTAAAGTTGACGAGCAATTATCGTATTTAGGACAACAATCTCCTGGTAAATAATATCCTTGGCAATCATTTCTAGTATAACATACAATAGAAGTGCATACTATCTCTCCACCATTGCAAAAACACACTCTACAAGCTGATTCATCAGATTTATTAATTTTTTCTCCGTTATTATACCGTTTACCTTTATGTTCACAATCTATTTAACAAAACAAGTACATTTGTTATTCTAATTTTATAGAATTTTAATATTAAATGTCTTAACAAAATCATTAAGTACCACATTTGTACTTTGGACAGCATTTATTTGGTAACTGAATTGTGATGCAACCAGTATTTATTGGACATTTCATCATTGAACATACAACATTTGGTGGATGGCAAATACACTCTTCACATGGACCTGCTCCTGGTATATATTCGCCTTCTCCATATTTTGAACCGTTGACTACACAGCTTGACTCAGCTAGTTTTTTATCATATTCCTTTTCGTGTGCAAAATGTTCGTTCTTAATATTTTCTTGATTTGAATATGACATGCTTAATGGCACTGAAATCATAATAATGTTTGTATCAATAAGATAGTCAACTAGTAAATTTATTTCCTTTATTTCCTTTCCATTGTTCTTATTATATTATTTATTTATCTTGTAATGATTATCAATATACATAGACGTACAATTAACAATCATTTGCACTTATCAGTTTTAACCCAACCACTAATACTTTCAAGACAAGATTCTTACGCAGTAAATTTCCAATACAAAAATTATATTAAAAAATATTTTAAAAAGATATAGTCTTTGTCCTGTAAGTGTTAATAAAATTTACAATAGAATACAATTATTGTCTATTATTAATCAACACTGTAATGTTCATGTTGCGCTAAAATTCCTTTTAATAATTATAATATTACAAGTAACCAATACTAAAAATTGTTATGTTTATCTGTGTAATATTCTTATATTCATTAATATAAAAAATTTATTTCTCTTAATTGAATATTTTAAAACTAAATTTACTATTTTCAAAAGACTCGATTTTTCTAAATACAAAAAATGTATGTAAAGCCTGTATAGTAATACTAAGAATAAACTGCACAAGTCCAAAATAACTTAGCTTTTATTATATTTTTACATAACTAATATTAATTAGACAAAATATCAATTTAATAATTAAATGCATAATATTAGTAGTTATAATTTAGAAATAATCTTTTCCTCTCACCTCCAAATACCACTGTATTTAATGTCAAGAAAATACTTGAAATTATAACCATACATTTCCATCTTGAACTTATTAACTTATGCCTCATGATGTTTCTATAACAAAAAAATAAAAAATATTACATAATTGTTGGCGAGTATAATTTAGTCAATAAAGAAATATTTAAATTTAAAGTAGAGTCAAATAAATCCTAGGTCAATGGTATAACTAATGAAAATCAAATAATGTTTTTGAATATTAACAGCCTTTAATTTTTTAATTAGGGAATAAAAGTAAATTGTTTTAACTTTTAGCCCAACTTAAAATAATCTTTGATTTTATTAAATTGTTTTTGGAAAAATGTAGGTAGTTTATATTTTCTAAAACAATTTGAGATTATAACACTTATTTTCTGAAGAAACCAATTCAATTTTATTATATTGATTTAATTGTATATTAATTGTTCGTGATCCTTAAAATAGTATATTATTAAATCATTTTTAATATTAGTTTGTCTACTGTTTTCCTTATTAAATTCTAGGTAATCATGTAATTATTTTTATAATTTGAATTTTTCTGTGATATTTAATATCTATAACAATTATTAGTTATTATGACTTGTAATATATATTTAAAAATTGCTTTATATGCAAAAAAAAAACAATATATTGGTTCTTAATTGAAATATCAACATTGTTAAAAATATCTATGCATAAATTCAAAATTGGCACCTATCTAGTAATCAGTTTCTTGTATTTCTTAAACACCTGATCACTAGTCATTGTGTTTATTTTGTTACTCATTAAAAAAAATCTACATTTAATTTTAAATGAAAATTGTACATTAACAAATTAGATTTATGCAATACTGATAATTTAAATCTGATTGTAGATAAGGTTTATGTGGTAAAATAAATAAATAATAAAACTTTTTTCTAGTTAGTATTTTATTACTCATAACTCATAAGATACAAAAATCATTGTAATTACTAGTAATCTGAATACTTTTTACACTAAAATATCAGTCTCGTATGATAATTAATTACAGTTAGAAATTAGTTTCTTTGTTTTAGTTAATTCTATAATTTGGATAATTTAGATATTTTTTTGTTTATATCTTTTATCATTGTCATTCACTATAATATTGTACATCACATTCTGGCAGCTTTCTTTTCAGATGATCAATTGTTGTTTCTGGTTCACTTAAAAATTGTAAATTTTTCAACTCCAAATATTTTAATGCTCTGTAATTAAAATAATTAATTAATTTAGATTTCTATCGAATAGATTAATCCCTTTCTTACTGAAGATATTCCAATGACATTATTCCTTGATCAGAAACATTTACACAGCCATTAATTTTCAAATGTGTCAAGTAATCTTTCAAGATATTAAGTTTAAGTAATGCTTCATTGTCAATTGTGTTACATCCAACAAATTCCACTTCGGAAATATTTTTACAATTTTCTATAAAATTAACATTTACATAAGTCATTAATAACAACCTAATATAAAGGTTGTATTACAGTAATTGAGGAACCCACTAAAATAACTAAATCCTATATGTGAAATTGAAGCTTCTTTTCCAGCATATACTTGTTCTATTAGAAACTGTCCGAGGTGACCTGATGTTACATTAGGTAAGCAATTGTAATGGCTGACAAATTCTTTACATCCTTTCCATCTCACTTGAGCACCATTTTTCATAAGCCATTCAGCACATGCCAAGTTAGGGCCAATTTCCTTGATGCGATCATCATCCAAACTATTTTTTATAAAGCAAGAATTATAATTAAACTAAATAAAATGCACTTAAATACTTAATCTTTGTCATTGAATTTTAAGTAAAGGCACTTGCCGGTTGAATGTGTCATCAATCCATTGCCATAAGCAACGTTTATTCATTCCAATTGTATTTTTTTTTAAAAAACGAAACTGTAAAGTTTTTAACATCTTCTCTCAGTTTAACACGATTACGTCAATTGCGCATTTAAATTTTATTTGTTGGCACTCGGAGACGAGTGAGTAGTGACAAATGGTAATAGACAATTGTCAATATTAAGTTTTTACATCGTGTGTTTGTAGTTTGTGCTTTGTTAAATGATAATAAACAATTATCCAGAGATGTAAAGTAATACTAAATATATATCAGACAAACATCAGTGTGACCAACTAATATTCTCTCAACAAAATAAAATGTATAAAAATGTTTTAATATTTACAAAAAAAATGGCACTAAGTAAATGTGGTAAAGAACATTTTATTTTTATGTACGTTGACGAAAGAACAAAACAAGTGAGTGCATTATAGTTTTAGTGCATTCTTATTAAATATTTTTTTTTTAGCAAAAAAAAGGGAATCCGCACTTCTATAGTTGTATGCTTAGATATTACCTCAACATCAAGTTTTGATTGTTGTAATGGACGTGTTTAAACTTCAATTAGAATTCAATGATATCGTCTTCTTTGCTTACGATAAACGATATTCTGAGCAGAAACGGTCTATATAATTCTTTGTTTATTTTGAATGTTTCCATAATATCCTTATATGGTTATTTTATTTTATATTATTTATGTTGATAGTAGTTTATTTTTTTATTAGTAATACGCGGTTGGTAATTATCCCCGAATTTATTTTCCTGGTTGTCCAAAGAGGAATTTTACATCTGATTTGCTCAACCTTTCTCGTAGGTTGAGTCATTTTTCTGACTAAATAATGGTAACACACGCAAACCAAATACATAATTTTTTCGCTTCGCTTAGAATCTAAAATAATTTCTGTTATTCAAACAAAGCGCAACCATCTGTACTACTAACATCCACCTTCGTTAAAATTGGAACAGTATCACAGTTTTGTATTCATTATAATTAACTCGTTCCTCAAAAAAAGTGTTCGTTCTAATGAAATCGTTATTTCCAAATACCAAATAACATTAGCCCGTCGCATTTTCTTTTTCTCTATATATATTTGATTCAAACTTTGTACGTATGTGTTTGGATAATACGTAACAAGTATATGGTCTTTAAAAACCCATCACAAATATACTCCCAACTCTGATATTATTACGATTTTGTATGTATCAAGTTAGATTAAAATAACCCAAGTATAAAATAACTAGATATTTTCATCGAAACACCATGTTAATTAGGTAGATGTGTATAAACTTAGTAGGTACTAAAAAAGTTAGATACTTGTGTAATTGTTGTCAATTATAACAACAATAATATTTATACAATGTTATTATAACTTAAGGATAAACTATAGTTTTGATATAACATACCTAAATATTAAATATCTTCCTTCAATAAATGTATAAATTCTACTTTAAAGTTATATCTATAGTCTGCGAGTTACGAATAACAACTAAAATCCAACGTGTGCCCATAACCTATATCAATGTGCATTTATTATATTCCATAAAAATGTAGTTGTATGACGTATACTTACGAAAAAAAAAATATTCACAAAGTGTGTTTAGATTCATTTTAACTGGCTTAATGCTGTCAAAACCCATCAAGTTCAAGGCCCCGAAAGAGCAGTGATTTTATGTTATATACGTAGAGATGCAAGAGGGTCATTCTACTGTTGCTATTAACCTATTAGTTACGGTGTACGGTTTTACACCTGACGTGATATTTCTGTTATTTTTTTTTTTTGTCATTGTTTTGGAGTGATTTGCAGTCAAATACTAGGTACGTGCCCAAAATAAAAGTATTCCAACAATTAGGTATTATTCCAATTTTATATCTTGTCCTGATTTTCCTTATTTTATTATGAGTAATAAAATAATGTGTACTAGTTTTAAACTTCTATAGAGTATAGTTCTATATCGCTCTTTAAATTATGCAGATTTTGTAATCGATTATATTGTTTTACCATTTATAACTGTTAATATAGTGTAACAATATGCATAATAAAAACGTAACAGAAACTATTAAGATAATGGGCAGTAGATAAATACAAATTTACTATATAATTACAATATAAATAAGTTGTATTGATGAAATCGATTAATATTCTAATTATACTATACGAGAGCCATGTATTTGTGTAATGAATACAGTGTACATAACATGCATTCTTTGTGATTGACTTGTCTAGTCATAATGAAATTACCTAATATTTAAAAATTGTTATTTAATTAACTATTAATGTCGTGGAATGTATTGCTTTTACTCTTTTACGGTGGATATTGGAATCAAATAACAATTTTGCCTGTAATATGGGTGGTAATCAATAATAATTCTTGGACCTTGGTCAATAAGCGCTATTTTGGTATTCGTTGTTACTATTATTAAAATAAGTGTGTAGTAGTATTAAATATAATTTTTAAAATAAACATTAAAATTCATTGATTGATAATTTTCAATAATATTCACTGTTGTAGTGAAACACCAATAATCAGTATGCATTATTTTTATTTTTTTATTTAATATTACTATTTTTACTTCTTGTTTATTCTAGACAACAATGAATTCCCTTTATTGCATTTTATACAACAGCATTGATGTAAATAAAAATAAATTAATTGTATTCAGGTAATCAAGAAGTAGGTATCTAACTACTACTATAAGTTAATATACCTTTAATAGACACCTGTTATAGTTTATAATATATTCATAAATCATATTTAATAAGAATAAGTTGAAATATTATTTAAATTAATTTGTGTACTGTTAAGTTTGCAGTATTTTTCTTGTTTTATCTTTATGGGAAAACAAGATAAACGGCATAACACCGCTAATAATGTTACAAAATAGGTACAAGGCTAATTGACAACTTAAAATATTTTACGACATTTTAAGTTTAAACAATAACCATTTAAAATAAATTTTAGTTTAGTGTTGTAAACTAAAAAGCATAATAAATATGTTTATTTTAGTAAAGCCACTTCAAAAATTATTTATTTATAAGAGTTGAATTAGGTATGCGGTAGAAGATCAATGTAATTTCTAATTTCTAATTCCCTCAAAAACGTAAAATACTTGTAGTCTTGTACCTATAACATTTTAGACGCTAAATAATCGTGAATCTGATATGATTAATTAGTGAAGTTATATTTATACATTTTAATATAGAAAAATGTAAAAAAAAAAATCACGATTTTTAATATTTCGACCATAAAAAATACCAAATTTTTTGTTTCATATAATAATTCAAATAATAAACTGTTACTCACATTTTTGATGATGATCTTAGCCTATTAAATATTCGGTTAAACGTGAGTTAGTTGTATTGGTCTCCTGTTACTGAATAACGATCTGAGGATCTATCTACCTAATGTTGTCGAACAATAAAAAACGAATCGATTCAAATCTAGAGCCTCCAGACTGAAAATCAAATCACGCATGCGCAATTTTACACTCGGGAAAAAACGATTTATTTAGTATAACAAAAACATTATTGGCATTCACTAAAAAAGTCTATGAATAGTTAATTTTAAATTTTTTATCAATTTGATAATAATATAGATCCCATCATATGTTTATGTTATTAATAAAAAAAATATAGAAAAATATAACTACAATACTGCGTATTAAAATATTATAATGTCTGTACTTACTTTGCAATTACTACGATATTTGTAGAACATATTATAATGTATAACTTTTTAAGTCCTTGTATTTACAAAAAAAAAACAGTAACTTTACATTCTTCTAAATGCAATCGTTTTACTAACTCGCAATTAACTGAACAATAAAGTTGGTTTTAGATCAAATTCAACACAATTCTACTAAACAAAATTGTATATTATGATAAATAATTATTTTTGTTATGAAATCAAATCCACGAAAAAATTGTCGTATTACAAGTAAATATTCTGAAACGAACCACGATATAAATTATCCGATTGTACCCTTAGAAATTGTCTCTTTACGAGGGTTGTTCTCCTTAGACTCATTCAAACAGTATTATCGATCATCATTTCGGTACTACTATGTGCCTTGCACCGAAGTTTAAACTTGTGTCCCAGTGTGAAACAACTTGGCAAAATATAGCATGTCATTTGTATTACTCTTACGCATTTCGTATTTTGGTTTTGTAAACTATGAAATTTAGTTTTCTCAAAATGTAAAAGAGTTTGAATAAAGCAACAAAACGATGGAGTTTTTTAGTCATTTATTTTTACAATTGATCTAATAATAATGTATCGTTAAAAAATGACTTTGAAATTATTTGACCTTCTTATTATAAGCTAGGACACAACAAGGTCCTGACAAAAAACACATGAGTACATTTAAGATAAATCATTTCCATTAAATTTTAAATTTCACAGAAATTAATTTTTTACTCACACGCTAGACCTCATTGTTATTTTCAAGATAAATGTTGGTATGTATTTAAATTGTTGTATACCTACTTCACATGTTATCCGTTCTAAATAAGAATAAAACTAAATAAACTGATAGTTGTCGTTGTTGTTTTTATAAATATTAATTACAAAAAAAAAATCAAATTTTATAACTAAGAACTTCATGAATAATAGCTAATCAGCTATAAATATACATTGTTATATTTTGTAATAATATGAAATTGTTTCGACAATAGGAATGGAGTGATGGTAAAATCATTTTATCTTTACAAGAATGTTATATATTAATTCCACTCCTCTTAGGTACCTATTTAACAATAATTACAGATAATAAATTATTTTTTCCATTATGAATATATTTTAAGTGTATCAAGATTTAAAAAATGTCGTTCCATATCAGAATTTTAAAAAAAACAGTTTTAATAATTAATCTATTATTCTATTGTGCTATCAATTTGTCGTTTTATAAATAAAACTTGTCGATTTTTGGATGAATATTGTAAAAAAAAAAAGTATTATTAATTTAATAGCTTATATAGTTCGTGTTGTTTTAATAGGAAGGAGAAACACATTTAAGACACCTTTTGAATAGTTTATTATAGGGTGAAGTGTTTTAAGCTGAATGCGTTTTCAATACTCATGTTATGCGTTCTAATTCGAGCAACAATCCAAATTTACAATTGAAAACTATTGCTATGCAATTCTTGTAAAAAAAATTGTAATGCTGTCCTACAATGACGTTACAAATAAGTTTATTATTTCTGCCTATCACTACGCATAGGTACCTACCTACCAAACAAAGCAAAACTACGTTCCACATACTCCGAACTATTGCTACAGTTCATATTATTATTTATGTCAAATTCGTCATAAAATGTATTTATTTATTTAAAAAAAAACAATTTTATGCATTATTGTCTATACCCAATGACCAATGTTTTAAGTTTGTGAGAAGTTTATTATTTTTTAAATATTGTAAAATGAATTACAACGGAATAAATCGTTTTGCTATTAGGTCTATCAATTTTTAGGTTTTATATTGGTGCGGTAAATTACATGATAAATGTAATGCAATTTGGATTTGGAACAAACTAAGATTTTACTATTCTGGATCTTTGATAGGCAGAATAACAACATCTTAAGGTGCATTATTTTCTTAAATTCTTATTATAAAATAATAAAACCAATTTTGAATTTTCGAAACCAATTATTTTTTCAATTTGTCAGTGTTACATCGGAATTAAATAAAACAGTATAACGGTAATACTCATTAGCGTACTGGTATACAAAATATAGGAAGGGAGAGGAAAAATCTCCTCTATGAACGAAAAAAAAACCTATCTTGAAATGGTTTAAATGAAAATTGTAACGTGTGTATATAATGTAGAATTTGTCAAAATAATCATAAAATTGAGTCTTACAATCTTAATGCACTTGGTTTTTACTACCCCGCCTGCTTAAATTCATTATTTTTCTTCAAAAGCTATCTCGGATCCATCATTACCATTTGGTATGTATATAATTAAATCCCCCCCTAACATAAAAACGTTGAAAGTACTAGAGTATTGAATACTCACTTGAGTATTCACCATTACGGTTAATATTTATTTAAAATTCTGTTTTTAATACATTTCGTATAAAATACTTAATCTTTGGGGATGCAAATATATTTTTTTTTTCCAGAAGACATTCTTTGGATTTTATTTGCTTTTTCTGATCCATGCATTGTGTAATACTGCAATGCATATAATATATTCATAAAAAAATAAGGTACCAAATACTTCGTTATTAATGTCAGAAACTCCCTTAATATAATATTGAAGTATGTTATGCTCTTTTTTACCTACCCACTTATCATAATCCATATTTTTATAATGTTTATATGTTACCATAACTCAGAAACATAATAATTCCCAGCTTATAATGGTACTTGAATTAGTATCATCGGTCGTAACAAAAATATCTATTTGCAAAATAAACAAGATACTTACTCATTTGATGATCAGCTTAATATCTAATAATATATGTGCATTTATAATTTTACATACAAATTTATATAAAATACAATTTTCAGATACTGTTTTTTCTCCTTCAAAAACAATGGACCAATTATCATTAGTCATGAAATATGATGAACATTTCAGACATGTGTTGGCTTTATTGGACACTACTGTGGAAAGAGGTACTTGACAAACTTTAATACATTTTACAATTATTTTGTCCTGTGTACATTGAAAAAAAAATCAATGCATAAGACACTCCACCTAAAATGTTTCACTAAATTATGAAAATTAAGGATTTTTAAATACACTACTCATACATTTATATTAAAATATTACCCAACGACCTTCAAAAACCACTAGGACTTAATCCCACCAAAGATTAGTTTTCAGTATAAATATATCTGTCAGTTAGTATAAATAAGTTAAATATAATTATTTTTTAATTAAAAATGTACAAATATTTATATAGATTATAAAGCCAAAATCATGTCATTGAATATACTCAGTGTACAATTTAAAGATCATGGAAGTGACAAAGAAATAATGAAGAAAAAACTTCAAGAAATGCGTATGGAATGCGAACGACTTATGCATAATCTTAAAAGTTCCAATCGATTATTAGATGAAGCAAATAAAGAAAAGAGGCATGCTGAAGTTGAACGAGACAATATGGTAATGATTTACAGTTAGATTCCTTATATGAAATATGAATGAATGTAATGTTTTTGTTATCAAAACTTTAATTAGGCTCAGAAACTTGAAAATTTCTATAGACTATTTAATAGCGCTAATAATTCGAACATAAATCGATCTGGTTCCCCAGTGTTTCAATGTGAAGCAGAAAGATTTGATCAAATACCACGTCAAGATACAACAGGTAAAATAATAATAATATTCATAATTTACATTTTTAATAAAAATTGTTCATTCCAGAATCCGTATTATCAGACATAAGTTATTCAAGGGTTGAAGACAGTTTAGATTCCGACAAGAATTTTGAGGATGCTATGGATCGCTGGGAACCTGAAGTAGTTGGTACTGTTAAAAGAAAACGAACATCAGGTCTTTCAAATCCCAATGGAATGAGGAAGGAAATTGAGGTAAAATTTATACTATGCTATCTAATATTTTATTTGCTAAATTAAATATTTACAAGTCATATTCTTGGTTTACAGACTACTACAACTACCTCGTCAACTCAAATAGTTGCAACCACTACTGTTACAATGCAGCCATTCACAAGAAACATCAGTGCAAAATCTGTTATTGAAACCAAACCATCTAACCTTTTTCCAACACCCAGTGCACCGCCTATATCTGGTAAGATATCAATAATGATTTACAAACATTCACATTATATTAAGAATAAAAATAATGTAAAATTTGATTATTGTATAGACTCTTTGGATTCATTTGACTCTGATCCATATGGTAATGAAAATAATCAAAATATACCCAACACAATACATTCAAGTTCAGCATTAAATAAATTGAACAATAGAGCTCACAATTTTACTCAAAAAAGTGTTATCATTCCAGAAATATGTGGCCCATGCGGGAAAAAGTAATTTGTATTTTGTATTAAGTATACATGTCATTATACACTTAGTGTTTGATATTATTATTATTATTATTGATGTGTCTGAAAAATATTCTTAATACTATTTGCTAAAAATAAGAAAAAATGTTATAGAGTTAAATTCAATCGTGTCGTGGTGAAATGCTTAGACTGCAAAGCAACAGCACATTTGGAACACAAAGATAAAATTCCTTTACCGTGTATCCCTGTAAAAAGTACACCCAGCAAAAATGGCGTAAGTTTTTATTAAAATATAATTGTATATTTATTATTGTTATTAATCTTTAATTCAGTGTGTAACAATTATACATTATCAAAAACATTTATTATAAACATATTTATGCTCAATCATATGCATGTATATTTTTATTAAATTTTGGATTCTAAAAAGCTAGAAATGTAAAAGTTATACAATGATGTGTGTGTAGCTACATTTTGGTGCAGGCATTTTTTTACATCCTCAACAGTAATGGTGGTTTCTTGTAACAAATTTTGTCTAGTTAGTAATTGGTACTTTCAGAATATTTACAGAACATTTTTGATAAAATTTATTTTGTTTTTTTGTTGTGATTTAAAAAGGAATACCCATATTTTTTCCAAATATTTATATTAGTATTTTCTAGACACTTTGGCTCTTTTGGAGCCATGTCTTCTACAAACCCATTCAATATTTACGCTATTCTATGGTACCTATCACAATATTTTGGTGAAAATGTATCAAATTAAGAAAATACTTGTAACACTAACTCATAGTGAATTAAAATATTAGTTTGGTTAGAAATAATTATAATTTATATTATATTTTGAGCAAATTTATTTTAAATATTCAAATCAGTGGTAAGACGTATATTAATTATATTAATACTGTAAGAATCATGAATTATTTTACTATTTTGTATACAAATTTGAGCCCATAATTATATTATGTGATGTTTAATATATTCTTAATAATTATTGTACTGTGTGTGAATACTAAAAATAGGGGCGAATAGCTGATTATTCACCAATGGTTAATGGCCGCCCGATGATACCTGCATTAGTCATTCACTGTGTGAACGAAATTGAACAAAGAGGATTTGATACTGTTGGACTGTACCGAATACCTGGCTCAGAAAAAGACGTAAAAGCACTGAAGGAAAAATTCCGTAAAGGAGTACCTAATTTGTCCGATGTTGACATACATGTTGTGTGTGGTTGCTTTAAAGATTTCTTGAGGACTCTTGATGATCCACTAATTCCCCACTACGATTGGAAAACTTTTACCGATGCTGTCAGAAATTCAAAAGATGAAACTGAACACAGACTATATCAAGCCATATCATTATTGCCACCCCCCAATCGGAACACTCTCGCATACATAATGTTGCATTTACAAAAGTATGACATTTTGTGTTAACTTGAAGTACAATATTCATATTTATACACTATATTCAATTTATAAATTATTTAGAGTTGCTGCAACACCTGACTGCAAAATGCCTGTTGGAAATTTAGCTCGAGTGTTTGGTCCAACAATTGTTGGTTATTCAAGCGAAGTTTCTGAAAATTTATATTTTGATTGTGAATTGAGTAATAAGGTAAGAACAAACAAGACAAAAAATTGTATACATTATATCACTTGTTTAGGTACATAATATAAATAATATTTTTTTTTTATACAGGTTGTTGAAGAAATGCTGAAACTATCACCTGACTATTGGTCAAATTTTTTGAACAATTTAGTGCCTCTGCGTGCACAAAATACACCAGTGAAACGCACTTCCTCCCGTCCATTACAACCCGCCCATACTCCAATTACAAAAAACAACAGAATTTTTGGTTCCAGGTTTGCTTATTCAAACTATTTTGAATTAAATTCAGTTTTATTAAAACAAAAATTGATTTATAAATTGCAGCACAAAAAGACGATATTTGGAATCTCCGCGATCAGTCAAGGCTGCTAGAATCAAACAACTTGAATCCAGAAAAAAATAATTCTATAGTAATAATTAATAATTATTTTTTTTTTGATTTTCTGCTTCTGTTGAATCAAAATACAAATACTAATTTAAGTTATCGTATTACTTATGTTTACTAATAGATTTATTTATCATTTTTCAAACAAAATTAATAAAGCTGATGAATGTTTATCAGGTTTTTTTTGTCGCATATTTGAGAATTTTTTCAAAATGTACTCACAAACAAACACATTTTTACATTACTGTTGTATAATTTTCAATCATCATTGTTTTCAATTTTTTTATAATCTGTGATTTTCTTTTTTACTCTAATTTTATTTATATACCCCTGAACAAAATATATTTTATTGCTTATAACTTATATTAAAAACCAAACAAAATATTATACATTAAGTCTACAATAAGTAATGAACAATTTATACGTATGTTTAAATTAACCTTAGTCTTTAATTTTTTTATATATATATACATATACCAGCTTAATAAATTTAATTAAATAAACAGAATATTAGTATTTAATGTTTTTTTTTTATTATTATTAAAGTCAGTCCTGGTTTCTGGGTTACTGGCTTAAAAATATTTACTTTTATTGCAATTATTTAAAATATATTAAATGCAGCTTTTTTTAAATTAAATAATGTATGCTGCATAGATTTATCAATTAATATATATTTATGTCTACAGTATGATGTTGTGTTGTGTAAATGTTTATGGTAGTGAGGGAAAGCCCGAAAGAATGAAGAAAAGGGAGTAAGGGGCTAAAGACAAGCAGGGTTGTAGGAGTTAAACAAACACATTTGTGTATGATTTTGGTGGAAGTAATCGATAAATTTATGGGTGGAAAATTTAAGTTGAACCATTCAAGTACTTAGGATCGGTGGTATAAAAGAATGGTGTTATCTAGGTACTGTCATCAACAATATGTGGTGACAAGAGAATACTATTGAGATTAAATGGTAGATTTTATAACACAGCTGTGAGGACAGTCAATATTGTATGAATTAGAATGTTGGACAGTGGCAATAAAACAACTATGAGTGAAGCAGAGATGTCTAGATGAGAATTTTAAGGTGCGTTAAGATACTAGGGAGGAGAGAATAATACCTTATTTAAGAAATTTATTAGGCTTAATGTAGGAGTGGCCCCAATAGTAAACAAATTCTGAGAGCATTTGAAGTTTTAGCATTTAGGTCTATTAAATTTGACAAGGCCAAAATTTTGTTTCTCGTCAATTTTTTCAGTAACAATGTACTGTTAAGTTACATGTGGACAGCTTCGTTGAAGTTACAGGTGTTATAATTTTCGATGATGAAAAAACCAATTTTGATTTAGACATTGATGTAATAAGGCCGGATTAAGATAGTTTTGGGTCCTGGACAAAACAATTTTAGTGACCCGTTACATGATCAGAATATTGGTGACCCACAAATAAATATATTTCAGACTTTCAGAATTAATAAGATTATAGATATCATAACTTCATTAGTTCATGATAATAAAAATAATAATAATAACATATCCACTACCCATAAATTATTGGACACGTACAACCGCTAGGAGCCCACTACTGCTTGATATCCGTTGTGGGCTCGTGGCCATGACTCCCCCTTAATTCGGGCTTCCAGTGACGAATCTTAAAATTATTGCAATTTCGAAGAATATTACCTATATTGAGTTATAAAATGTTTATTACATCGAGGGAAATGTTTTATACTCTCAGTCAATGATTATTTATCTTTCCAAATCAAAAGTTGAATTATAGAGACAACGTAATCCAAATTTTGGACTGGACTTAAAACTTTTTAACTCTTGTACTGAAGGATGCAGGTATGCCTGTTACCGGGTAATGGGTATGGTGCATTTAGTTTGTCATGGTATGTGCTATGTTACGGAGTACCGGTTTGAATATATTGACAATTGAAGTAATAAAGTTATTAGTAAAGTAAAAACAAACCAAATTACCGTATAACGACACGGTGGTCAATTTTACATAAAAGATACAGTACGGGTTATTGGGAAGTTATCCGTAAACTCGTGATAAACATAGTGAAGAAACAAATGAAAATTATTTAAATTTAAAATTTTGAAATATGTGATAAATATTCATATCATTTTTGGAAAACATCTTTCGGTTTCTAAATAGATTCCTAGCCTCCTAGGAGTTATTTGGAAGTTCTGAAATCTAAATTTGTACCTACATGGTTCATGAATAATTACTATTTTTCTGATTCATGTTCCACCTGAAAGACGATCTTAGATTTTGTTTCATAAAATATGAAAATGTGCAAAAGGGACTTGGCACGCCCGAGTTAATAAATATTAATGTTAATTCAGCATTTATTGTTCTTTTAGATTCAACTATTATTATTGTAGCGAAATACAATCAATTTTATGCATTTAAATTATGAAATATTTGCCAACAAAAAATTTAAATAATTTTAGATCATAACCATAATATATTAATCATTGTCGCTATAAATTATTTCATATTCCTAAATATCTAGCCTATTTTAATTACATAAATCAAATAATTGTATTATATTTAGGAACAAATCATCCTTAATTATAATAATAAATTTAAGGATATGGATGGATTATAAACCACCATCTAATGTAATACCTTATACCGTTAATTATAAATTATAATACATGATGGTATTTTTAATCAACGGTAACACGTTGTTATATTTTACTCGATGCCTTAGAAATGTTGTAATGCAACCAAACATACATATTTTAAAAGCGCACTCTTTCTGATTTACTTATTATGAGAAAAAATTACTGATCTGCGTTATAAGTGCTTAACGACTCCGATTGGCTGAAACCGTCGGTTTAGGTATTTAAATGTGGTACGACCCATACCGTGTTTAAGGTTTCATAATCGTTGGTAAGGTTTTACGGATTACAGAGAACAGTAGTTCGGCTGCAGTATTCCAGATTCCTGACCAACGGCGCGTATTGTTATACTGATTTTCACGGGGAAAGAAATATTACTGAACTGCGTTTATATAGTTATAATTGCCCGAATGTTCGCGGTAGACATCCGAAACTAACAGTTGATCTAAATATGATACAAATACAGTATGGGCCATAATGTGTTAAATGTTTCATATTATACTTGTTGATACAGGGTTTTGGATTTGCTGTAATATTCTGCGACAGGAAAGTCGAAAGTAAAATTAACGTAATACTTGAGTACTTGACGTGGCTACAATTTGGAATTTAACGGGGAGTTGAACAGGCGTAAATAATAATATGACGCTTGTCGAGATTCAACCACACTATGATCTATGTTCAGTGAGTACCCACCACCCACTCTGTATATTTATTTATTGATTTATATTTATGTATACCCATGTTACTACTTACTTCATATTATGCGCTTTAATTGTGGATATAATTTTGTGTTAATTATTAAACGATTAAATATTGCCATGTCACTTCCTTGTGTGGGATCTGCAAGAATGTAAAAATGATTATTGTTTTTTTGTTACCCACTTTAAAATTTCAACTAATCAAGTAAATGAACTATTAATGTAATACTAATTAATGCGGTTTTGACGATATACCTTCATTCGTGCTTTGATACCTGAAGTCATTGTAACTGTTCGCTACTTTGCTCAGCACAGCTATAGACGGGCCCGTATTTAGAAATAATACTTCCCGGGGCAGTCTTTTTAGTGGCAGGGAGAGGGTGGATATCCAGTGTGAAAAATAAGAATTTTAAATTTATAAATACCTATTTCGCATACGAAATTTTTAAAAAAAATGTATTAAAAAATCAAAAAATGCCAACGGCACGTAGTGTTCCCAAGCGGTCACCCATCCAAGTACTAACTACGCCCGACGTTGCTTAACTTCAGTGATCGGACGAGAACTGGTGTATTCAACGTGGTATGGTCGTTGGCGACGATCTGGAGGGAAAATGACAATATTTAAATATATTAATTGCAAGAATCATTATTATAGGAAGTAATATCCCTCCGTAGATAGCGATTTTCAGTTTTTGATTGTACTTATTAGTATTTTTTTTTAATACAATTTGACGGACAAAAGGACGCAATATATAGTTATTCGACGCACGTTTAACGTAAAACATTGATAGCTATAATACTATGCTAAAACAATATAGGTCACACACTTTACACGCTAATTTTTGTCAGTCAGTACCATTTTGTTGTCGAAAGAAGCAAGATCAACTTTGTGCCTACGTTATGGATTCTTCATCAAGTTCAACTGACAGTGATTGGATAGACGAAAAGGAAGAAACGGTTGTAGCAACATATAGGTATTTCAGATCAAACCTATACGAATCGTAAATTTTGGGCTCACCCAATTAACAAGGAAAGGGATGAAAAAGGCATATTTATTAACTTGTGTCCACAGTTAATAAATGATCCTGAAAAGTTTCATCAATACTTTCGTATGTTGTATGATCAATTTAATGTTTTACATAATTTGATAAACGACGATATTAAAAAGCAAAACACACAATTTCGGGCACCAGTTCCATCTGAACAGAGATTAGCTGTATGCTTAAGGTAAGTAATTACAATTTAATCTTTTTTCGCTTGCATAATATATATTTTTATAAATTAAAGAAGTACTTATAATATGATGTTAATTAAGAGAATCGTATTGGTTAGAACTTTCTTCTGAAATGTACTCGAAATATGATTGGTGAAGACGTAAGTTGTTGATCAGGAATGGACGACAGAAGTTTTGACCCTCATAAACATAATCCTGACCGTTTGAATTTGTTGATATAAAGTATTACACCCTCTATATTATATTTATCATTTATAACTTCTAGTATATATTACTCTCGATTTTCCAAAAACGGCAATATAAATATAAATATAATAAGGTGGAATATTTTTAGTATCTTGACCACTCGTCTTACTTCTACGTCTTCTGATACCATTTAAAAAACAGTCACGCAGTTTAGTCCATTCTGACTAGCACTTATCAGCTATTATAAAACATATAAAATTACGTATTTGATGATTCATGAATTAATTATTTCATATCAAGCGAATGATTTTAATCTCTATAAGCACGAAATTCGGGTTTTTTTAAACATTGGTAATTTTATTTGTTTAGAAATATCTATTATATACTGTGAACTTTATACCTACATGATTTAATAATAATTAATATTAATATTAGTTATTAGATTAATATTAATTATTTTTATTAGGTACATAATGTATATTATTATTATAATACATTACGGCGAAAACACAGTTTAAGTTAAATA